AACCCACCTGACTGCAGTGATTCCTTCTTGCCTGCCTCTTCTTGGAGAACTGCAGCCTCATCTTTCCCCTGCTACAGAAGAAAGAGAGGGCTAGCCTGCAGCAACAAGCTTCTCCATCACCTGTGTCTCCAAAGCCAGTGAGAGGAGGATAATTTGAAGTCGAGAAAGCTATGGAGTTTTCACTTCAGAGAATCACATCTAGCCTAGCTCCCTACCCAGGACGTGAAGCAACCTGTCAGTATGCCCCCACACGTGGTCATTCAGTCTAATAAAACTCCCAGGAATGAGCAGCTCTCTCCAGTTTGAGAACGCTCTGGTTGTTAGTTCATATACCAAACCAAAATTTTTCCTTCATGTATCTTCTTTCCATGTTGCCTTCCAAAATCATGTCTTTTCAACACGATAGCTGCTCAGGAATTTGAAGACAATGGTCCTTGCCCACCTCCCCTTCCCCATGTCTTATCTGGTTTAATATCCCCAATTTTATTCAGTCAGTGCTCATCTGACATGGTTTTCCCTGGTTGCTCTACTGGGCATGTAGTGTTCTTAAAAGCAGTGCCCTGAAGAGAATAAAATTCTCCAGGGGTGTTCTGATCAGAAGATGAGGTGCAATACCTTGTTCCTAGCATTGATTGGGGAAATGGGTTGTCACATCACACGACTGAACTTTATTATTCAACTAATAAACTGCTGCTAAGTTCTGTTTCTTCCAGATAGTACTTGGGTCCACAAATAGAATTTATTATCGACTCTCTTTAAATTTCATCATTAAATTCAGTCCCTCATCCTAACCTATCTATTTGGAATTATGATTAGCTATCCCTTTTAATTTCATACCATCTCCAAACTTGTTCAGCTCTCTGCTTCCCAATGCAAATAAGTAATCGGGCCAGGTTTGAAGATAGAGCCGTGGGAAGTATTACTTTCCATCTCAACCATTTCCATACACTAAAATGGACTGTCAGTTTACATTTCAGGGCCTCCTCTCTAAGAACATGAGACAGGTGCCTTGGATATTGTGGCTACGGCAGTCAACGCTTTGTGCCAAGATTGGAATTTTACCAGGAGCCACACTTTTATAGTATGGACACTTACTTGCTGGGTTCAAATTCCAGCCATACCAGTTTCAACTAGCTCTGCGTGACTTTGAGCAAATGACTTAATCTCTTCATTGGACTGTTGGGAGAATTAAATGTGGTGGTTATTATTTATTTACAATTTACCAAGCGCCCTTTACATCTGCTACCTCGCTGGATGCTCAAAATAACCCCCCTAGTGTTGGAAAGCTAAGGAACTACAGTTTTCGTTTTACAGACTGACGGAAAGAAGTGTCTTTTCATGGTACCACAGCGCCCCCATGGGAGATTCAGGCCCGGAGCATCCCCACCCCCGGTCGCCCCGCACCTGCAAACACTTGTACAGCACAAAAGCCACGACAGCTGCAGTGTACAGCGCCCCCAAAGGCAGAGCTCCCGCCCGGGCCCGCTCGCGCTGGTCCTTGGGCGGCGGCCGACGCCGGGGTTCGGTGGCCTCAGGGCCGATCTGGGTGGGGTCCCCTGCGAAAGACGGCAGAGGTGGGTCAGTAGAACTGGGGCCTGAGACCCGTGGGCAGTCCTAGCCTCCCTCCAGCAGCCCTCGCTGATACCTGGGTGTGCCCGGAGGTCGGGGCTGGGGCGGTCTCCGAGGACCCCGGGCAGTGCAGACACAAGTAGCAACCCCAGCAAACCCGCAAGCGAGACCGAGCCCGCCATCGCCGACCACAGAATGAAGGCCCCGCCGGCACCAGGGTTAGCCGGGAGCCCCAGTGCGCATGCGCAAGCGGGGCGGTGCGTGGGTCCCGCTCCGGGTCGCGCGGAGAGGTCACGCCCATTTTTAGTGTGTGGGCGGGGCAGTCTTATTAGCATAGGACTTTGGCCCAACTTTGCTAAATGAATTAATTTCTCATCTATTTAGAATTCTATTAGCCAGAAGTTTCTAGAAGCCAACAATCTTTTAAGATTATGCTGGAAAATGGATTTTATTTCTTATGCTAGCAACCTATTCACCCTAATCAAAAAATGAGTATTTTGGCCAACGTTAAAAGGCTGGAGGGGGGAAGGTCTGAACGTAGCTCGCGCTGAAGGCCTGTTTCCTAGGCTACAAACGAGGGACTGGTTCCTTATTCGTGCCTAGGGGAAAGTCCCCGGACCAGGGGCAGAGAGTGCCGCGTGCGTGTGCACGTTGACTTTCCCTGCTTCACACAAGAACGTCCGCCAAGAAGCGACCCCACCTGTGGCGGGTTAAGCTGAGCGGCGTGTTGGCGGGGGCGTCATCCGTCAGTATTTCTAGTTACGCAGGCAGTGCGCCTGAGCGCATCAACCACACGGGGCTTATTCTCAGCGCGACAGACTTTTACAGATGTGACTATTGTGCCTGGTTCCTGTTGGGCCATGTGCTTCCACGTCCGTAAGTGGGATAATTCACCCCTGAACTATTCCCTCTTATGACTTAACACACTTTATGTCTTTTTTTTTTTTTTTTTTTTTTTGCAGTTCCCTCTTCCTACAAGGGCCTCCTCTTCCCCACCCTCTCCAATTGGCAAATGCTTCTAATATCACCATTCATTGTGTAGCATGGCACACAGTAGACTATGGACTGATTGCCCGGCCTAGAATCCTGCCTCCACTACTCGAAAGCTAAATGACTTCGGGCAAGTTCTTAATTTCTCTCTGTGCCTCAGTTTCCACTCTGAGGAATGAAGATAATGATAATACATATATGTGCCTCACAGAGTTGTTATGATGATTAAGTGGGATAATCCAAGTAAAGTGCTTAGAACCATGCCTACCTCCTAGTGATTTTAACTTGATCAGGTGCTCCGAGCCAGGCACTTGAAATTATAACTCTCTTCGGAACCTTCCACTGCTATTTCCTTTCTGTACAGTTAATGTCTACACACCCTTCAGATCTCAGGTGTATTTCCTTCATTCAGAACCCTTAACTTCGAATTTATTCATGAGTGCAGCTATTGTACTTTCTTTATTTAAATCACCATCATGTGTTAGTTATATCTTCAATAAAACTGGAAAAATCCATTTTGGTTCTTTAAAATCAGTTAATTAAAAATCAGTCAATCCATTAAAATTAATTATAAAAAGAAAATACCGCTAGACTGTAAATTGCAGGAGAGCAGGGGCCATATTTCTTTATCATTTTATTCCTACAGCTTAGCACGGCATCTGGCTCTAGCAGGCACTCAACGAATCCTTGTTGAATGAAATACAACCCAACAGGTAAATATAATTAAGCTCGTTTTTTTTAAAGATTTTACTTATTTGTTTGAGACAGAGCACAAGCAGTGGGGAGGGCAGTGAGAAGCTGACTCCCATGTTCAGCAAGCCGGGGGGGGGGGCGGGGGGGGGGCTGGATCCCAGGACCATGATCATGAGTTGAGCTGAAGGCAGACATTTTACTGACTGAGCCACCCAGGCACCCCTAATTAAGCTCTTTTAAAGAATGAGTCTCCGTTGGGTTCCATGCTCAGCGGGGAGTCTGCTTCTCCCTCTCCCTCTGCCCCTCCCCTTACTCGTACTCTCTCTCTCTCTCAAATAAATATTTAAAAAAATAAAAAATAAAAAAATAATGAGGAAACAAAGGTTCAGGACGGTTAAGTAAGTTCATCACGTAAAAGGCAAGTCAGGGATTGCAAAGCTTTTCTGTCTGTCTCCCTATCAGTTACCACATATCACCCCCCCACCCCAACCCCCAGCCCTTCCTTTCACTGCCAAGACCTCAGGCAGACCTGCAGAGTTTCCTTGTGTTTCATGCTGCCTTTTAATTGTCTGGGATACATTGGGTCGTCTTCCTAATTAGATCAAGAGCCCTTTGAGGAAAGAAACCATTTCCCACTCACATCTTTATCTCCAAAGCTTGGCACATAACCAAGCGATCAGCACAGGTGACAAATGAATGAGGTATATGCGTGCTAAATAAATGAATGAACTAGGAGTGTATCTTCTGTTCTTCCAGAAATGGAGGGGGCAGGGCAGGGAGGAGAGACCCACACTCAAGGGAGTTACTGTAGTCTAACTATCTAGAGACAGCCTGGTTACAGAGCAGTGTAGTCCAAACCTTGACCCTAAGCCAGTTGGCACAGTCAACATAAACAAGTGGTTCAGGCCAGGTATAATATGATAAATGGCCCTCAACTCATTGTAGCCTTTAGGGAATTTGGGCCCACTATTGCCAGACATATCACTGACCTCTGGTCTAAGGAACTTGAAATCCTTCTTCCACATCAAAAGCAGTCCATGTGGTTGGGCTGTATCTGGGCAGGACAGGTACTCCACTCCCTGAAGTGAACAAGGGCGAAGACACGGCTCAGCTTCCGAGGATATACTGGGGTAGAAGTTTCTTTAATTCAACTAACTTTTGAGATTGACAGTTCTTAGGGACAGTTTCGATGAAGTGGGTCGGGAGGGAGGACTCTAAGTTTCCACTAGCCCCTAAACTATTATCAGTAATAATAAGAATGACAATGGTCATCTTATCCCCTACAGTCAGTCTTAGAGTATGGTGGGATTGTAGGTACCTGGAGGCCTCCCCTTCTCATTCCTCTTTTTAGCATGCTCAGTGAGGAACACATTCTCTCTCACGGGTCTCAGAGTTGGAGAGAAAAGGCAGACACCCTGTGGCAGAAGGGAATCTGTCCTGAGGCCTAGCTTCCTTGTCTTGTTGGTCCTGCCTCATGCTACTTGTCTCCTGTCTTCATGGGCTCACCTGCACACTGGCACAGTAACCTCAGGCCTGCTTCTCTCTTCTCTGGCCGAAGAAGGTATAGGGCCATGGCGGGGGGGGGGGGGGGGGGGGGGGGGAAGCGTGGGAGATGCTGGGTGGCGCAGGTGCAGGCACAGGGCGGTGTCTTTGTTCTTTCACTCATCCCTCCCCTCCCCCTTCCTCCCCGGAAACCAGTGACTCTGCCACCAGCAGTATTGGGGATGCTGAGCTGTGGGGGCCAGGCCCAGGGAGGGGTGAGAGTAAAGGGGCCTGCAGCAGCTATCAGGCCATAAACCAGGCTGACCCCTCAGCGCAAGGCTTGCAGGCTCAGCTCCCAGGTCAGCAGTCATGAGCAGAGGTGACAACAGCACAGAACTGCTAGTGCCTGGTGAGCTGGGCGGGGCAGGGGCAGGGGGAGGGGTCACATGGCCCCATGTCCCACCTGCTAGGACCTGGAGGGTTGGGCTGGGCAGTAACACCCTCCGTCCGCTGGCATCCACAGGAATCCCCACCGTGACCCAGGCCTGGGGACTATGGGCCCTCCTAGGGGCTGTAATGCTGCTGCTTCTCATCTCAGTGGCTGCGCACTTGTTCCGATGGGCTAGCAGCCAGAGCAGGAGCCGTCCGGGACAGGGACGGTGAGTGGGGGACAGCAGAGGTAGGTGATCAAGAGCTCCCCGTTACCAAGAAGTCCCCTCATCCCCTCATCTCTGTCTTGCAGCTCTGGAGAATCTGTGGAAGAGGTCCCCCTATATGGGAACCTGCCTTATCTTCAGACTGGTAGGCGGCTGGCAGAGGGGAGGGGCACCGAGGCCACGCACGTCCCTGGTGGGTGGGGGTGGGATGAGGGATTGCAGGAGGAAGAACAAGAAGTGACCAGATTACAACTGTTCCCTCTCCCAGGTCGGCTGGCTCAAGAACCAGGGCCAGACCAGCAAGATCCGACTCCTAGACGCCCCGTCTCGGTGAGTCAGTTGGGGCTAAGAGGGGAGGGAAGGAAGTGGGGGCTTTTCCAAGGGTCCAGTGAACTTCTAACAGCCTTGAATCTCCAGGCTGCAGAGAAAGTGATGTGCTATACCAGCCTGCAGTTGCGGCCTTCTCAGGGCCATATCCCCAGCCCCGGAACCCCCATCAAGTACTCAGAGGTGGTGCTGGATTCTGAGCCAAAACCCCAGGCCTCGGGCCCTGAGCCGGAGCTGTACGCCTCAGTGTGTGCCCAGACCCGCAGGACGCGGGCTTCCTTCCCAGACCAGGCCTACGCCAACAGCCAGCCTGCACCCAGCTGAGATGGAAGGGCTGGCAGAGTGGGACAAGCATCGCCCCCAGCCTCCTCTGCTGCAGGGGTTACTGCTACCCTGCCCTGGCATGACTGTTTCCCAACCACCCCCCAAAGACAGGTAGCCAAGGTCCAGTCACAGGAGGTCATGTTTCCCAAACTTCCCCTCTAAGCCGTGAGGGAGACATCTCAGGGGAACAAGTAGGTCCCCAGTTTCTTGGGGATGGAGGAAACAAAGGCAGTGGCCCCCATTCCATCTCGCTCTCTCTTTCCTATCTTTTCCTCTAAGGCCCCAAGCTCCCCAGTTTCTCACTTCCTCCTCCTTGTGGATTTTAACCAGATCCTCTCTGCTCCAGCTCCCTTAAAGTCTGCCCCTTCGGTGTCCCCTCAGATACAGGAAGTGAGCAGTGGTGGAGGGGGTAAGAGCCTGAGAGGAGAAGGGTGGGTATACGCCTTGGGAGCCCACAGTCTGGAGGGATCCTGGAACCCAGCGACCTGAGGAACCCAAGCCTGGCTTCTTATCTGAGAACCCTGGCTGGAGAATACCAGTCTACATCCTGCTCTGTTATGTCCCCAAGTTTTCAAATAAAACTTCTCAGAAAGTGTTTAGATTTTTATCTAGAGGGCTTCAGACCTGCAATGGGCTCTACATGGTAGGAGTGTGAGCTTTGCTCCCTGCACAGAGCACTTCTGGGAGCGTCTCGCAGAGGAAGATGGACCAAGAGCGTCTGTGGCATCAACACTGCCAGGGTGGGTGCTAGGGGTGGGGGCTGGAGCCGAGCTCAAGCTGTACTTGCTGCTGCTAGAACATCGTCAGAATTTGCACTCAGAGCCACCCCATTCCCATCACCTGGAGCCTGCAAGCTCACCAGCCCCTGACCTACTCTCCCCATGGCCTCTAGGACTGTGCTGCCTCAAGTCTACGCCACCTCCCCCTACGGCTTCTGTAGAGGCAAGTCTGGCTTAACAGACCTTTCTGAGGTTTCAGGGCCAGAAGATAGTGGAAACCAGGCTTCTACTTCCAAACATCTCTCCTTCCCACTCACAGTCCCAGAGAAAACCACAGTAGGGAGCCGTGCTCCTGAGCCCTACCTGGTGGTCCCAATAAGGCGGACCCTCTGCACACACACAGATTAACCCAAGTGCTAGATCTGCCTCCGTGGACCTCAGCCTGGGCCTCCCCCAGCAGAGGCGCCGGTCGCGGTAAAGAACAGGCAGCTGAGGCTGTGTGGGAGGGAAGGTGGCTTTGGGGGCTGGCACCGGATGCGGGGAACCACTGGCAGCGGGATGTGGGTTTCTGAGGACTGCTAGTCTGAAGACCGCTCAATGTGTCCCCGGCCTGGGGGACGTGAGAGCCAGACTCTGTAAGAGAAGGGGTTTGGGTCCCGCCAACCCACTGGGACGAGACGGAAACTGCAGCCTCAAACACCACCATCGCAGGCCTTACAGCCCCCCTCACACCCGCTCTCCCGGTCTCCGCCTGCTCAAGACTAAGCCCGCGGCGCCCCCGCCTGGCGCGACGCGGCCTTGCCACGACCTCTGCGCATGCGTAAAGCTGCCCGGTCCACCACATGCTGGGAAATGTAGTCGCGACAGTTCCCCACCCACTACCCCCTCAATCTTCCCGGCCCCACGAGTTTAGCCCGACACTTCTCCGAGCCAGGACCCTGCGGTTCCCTGAACAGCGCTTTCTGGTTCACCGAACGTAGCGACTCACTCGGTCTGGAGCTGGGTGCGATTTGAACGTTATTTTCCTTCTGGTCCCTGAAGCCTGGATTCTTTATCCTCTCTCTTCCCTACAACCTTTTAGTTTTTCTCACTGTCTTACTTGTCTGTCTCCGAGGCTCGTGCCCTAGCCTAGGCCCTCAGGACTGAAGGCCAGGGCTGTGACAACTTCCTAGTTGATCCCTGGGTCTAGGAAAAAAATTAATTAGGGCAGCCAGATCCCCCTCAGACACCTTCGAGGACCCCCTTGCCTCATCTCTAGCTTGTCAACTCGTTTCCCAAACACCTTGCAGTTGTCTCCCCTTCTGTTGCTCCACGGGTGCTTTCTTTAGTGGCCTCCCTTCCCTGACGGGTGTAAGATTCCTGCTATAAGGAGTGCCCTGTTCCTGGCAAATTCCCAGGCGCAGATCATTGGGGAAAGCCATGAGAGCCCTCTGGAGCTCCAGCTTTTCCCCTCTTCCTGAGGTCTCAGATGGGAAGATTGGGGATAAGCCCAAGACCCAAAGAGGAAGGGTCCTTGGGACGGTCAAATGTTCAATGATAGAAAGTTGTTAAGGAATTACTTGTAGGTGGGGAGGGGCCTAGGAAGCCATCCAGCCAAGACCCCTCCATCTTTGGCCTTGCTCTGTACTCTGATGAGTCTAAACTTCCAAGTTTGTTTTGGCTATAAGGAGGGAAACAGAGCTGGGACATGGAGAGAGACCAAGTCTTAATGACTTCATTTGAAACCTTGGATCCAGACATGCCCAGAGCTCTATCTGCCTCCCGAACTTTTTGGTTATGTAAGCTAATGCATTCTCTTTTTTGCTTAAGTCATTCTAAGTTAGACTTTTCTATCTCTTGCAACCACGAGTTCTGACTAATTCTGTGGGGGAAAGACCAGCACACCAGGGCCAGCAGAAGATGCTGAACTTCTGAGATCTTCCCTTATTGCTCAACTCCTCCACCAGCCACCCTCTTCTGACATACTTAAATGCCATTTGACCCGAAAATATTTCTGCTTGGTGTGTGCCTCTTGCCAGGCTTTTAAATATCTAGAATTCTACAGCTGGGAGGAGGCAGATCTGGCCCAAACTTATATCCACTGCAGGAGCCACCCTACCAGCCTCTTGTTAAACATTTCCAGGAATAGGGAGCTTGCTACCTCACCAAGCACTTGTTTCCAATGTTTCTTTTTGAGAGAACTTTTTTTTTTTTTGGAGCCAAAATCAGCCTCCCTGTTACTTTTGTCGTTAATTCGGCCTTCTGAGCTACAATCATATAATCACCCTTCTCCCGCCTGTACATGACAGCCCTGATGGATGGCCTAAGTCTTTCTTTTTTCTCCTTCCCGGGAAAAGCTTTCTAGAGTTCCTTTTACAGACCTTATTTGCAGCCTACTCATCATTCCCACTGTTTTGCTTGAGCAGAGTCTCTCTTCAAGTATGATGCTAGGAAGTGAATATAGTACTGGCAGCAAACTGTGGAGAGCCCGTCTCTTCACTGGGCACCAAGTCTCCAGGGCTTTGTTTGTAAGGAATACAGTCATTTTGCCTTGCTTAAGTGAAGGGGTTTTTATTGCTAGGACACTGGGGGCAGGGAGGAAGCCAAATGGAATGGGGATTACAGAACAGTGGCTATGCTATGACTGGGCTTCTGCAGACTGTTGCTGGATTTCGGACCTCAAATCACAGCCTCGCTGGGGACCTTGGTGACAGGAGTATGAGGGTCTTTCCACTCCTGCTCCTCCTGTCCCATAACTCTCTGACAGAGTTTCTGCTTCTTTTATTTATTCCTAATTTTTTCCTACTTTGCTAACTTGCTTCCTCATCCTTTACTGTACATTTTCTACTTCTGGTTTCTGCTTCCGCACACTGCTTGATATTTTCTCCTCTGTATCATGACCTCAGTTCAATGTTTAATTTTAGGAATAGTGGGAGCACATGTTAAAAAAAATTAAATAGAGGGGCGCCTGGGTGGCTCAGTCGTTAAGCGCCTGCCTTCGGCTCAGGTCCTGATCCCAGGGTCCTGGGATCGAGCCCCGCATCGGGCTCCCTGCTCAGCGGGAAGCCTGCTTCTCCCTCTGCCACTCCCCCTGCTCGTGTTCCTGCTCGTTAACTCTCTCTCTGTCAAATAAATAAATAAAAATCTTTTTAAAAAATTAAATAGAACTGTAAGGTAGGCACCAGTGGTTCTCTGCCAGACATTGGGCAATGTACAGAGACATGCTTGATCATCACAGCTGGGGAGTGCCCCAAGCTATTGATCTATAGGGGGTAGAGGCCAGGGATGCTTCTGACTGTCCCACAATGCACAGGTCAGCCACTCACCATGCAGAATTTCGGTCCCCAAAAGCTAAAAGTGCTGAGGTTGAGAAATACTAGAATGGGGGGAAGAAAGTAAAAGGCCATTCCCCCACCCCATTCCTACTTCCAGTTGTAGTTCCCAGGGGCACCTGCTATTAACGGCTTCTGTGTTTAAGTATTCTGGTGATTATCACTGTATCTGTCAATAATATTTAGAATACTTAGAGCAAGGGGAATCTGGGTATATGAAAACCCTGGAGAAGCTCTCCCTTCCACAACCCCTCCGCCAACTCCTAGCTATGGAGGACGAGCTTTAAATGGGCTCTGCTTCCTGGCAGAGAGAATTTCCTGCAGACAAGTTTCTGGAGAACACCTCAGAGCCAAGAAAAAGGACCTTCAGAAAGACAGCAAGTCCCAGAAACAGCCGGCTTTCCAGGAACAATCAATGGCTTTGCTGAGTCTCTCCAGCTCTCTAGAAACTAACCGGTGGATTGAATTTCTCAGCCTTTGAGGCCAGGAGAATGCAGACAAACCAGAGGGCAGAGAGACCTGCCGGAGGAAACAAGTGAATCTTGGACTGAATGAGAGCCTGGGGGAGATAGGTGTGAAGGTCAAACACAAAAGATTTCCCTGAACTAGAAAACGTGATATCAGAACTAAAAATTTCCATACATAAAGAAGAGGATGGTTACTGCTAAAACTCTCAAAGAGGTCCAGAAAATTAAACAGATGAACTATCTCAAAACATGTAACAAAAATATGGAGATGCAAATTATGTGGTGAAAGATGGGAGATTGAAACAGACTCAGGGGATTTAGCCTGCAGATTCTGAGTTCTGGGAGAAGAGGAACAGGCGAGGACGGATCATAATTACATAATACACAGAATATCCCTGAGCTGAGGAAAGATTCAGCCCCTATACAGGTTAAAATTCCTGAACTCTGTGGATAAGAACAATATCACACACATTTCCAGGCAGAAAGAAAGTTTGTTCTTATTTGCCACCCTGGAAGTTAAAGACAGCAAAACTGAATGTGAGGTAACGGAAGAGTGGCCCTGCAACCAGGACCTAGCGAAAGGGGAAAGAAAGAGAGTTGAAGATTTACAAGAATCGTCCAGTATCTCACGTGAGAAATACTTTCCAGAAAAGGCTCTAATGAAATAACAAATGGGTCCGAACAGACTTCAAGATGGGGGAAGGTGAAGGGAGGAGAGAGATCAGTGGGGTGCAGCGAACCATGACCTATATATTTATATCGATATTTCTACATATGTATAACGTGTCACACAAATGCTAAATACTCTTGAAACAGAAGGAACCCGTCGTAAGGGAAATTCTAATAAGGACTGAATTATCTCCAAAAAACTCTGGAATCAGGTGGTGGGGATAAGGGGAAGGTAAGTGTTCTAGGATCCGAGGGGGAAGGAGGGGAGGAGGAAAGGCCCAGTAATCTAAAGACCATGTCTTATTGAGGTGGAGAGGAAGTAGAAGGTAAGTAGAGTATGATGGAAATAGTTGTTCTGTTTTCATACACTAGAACAATAGTGTGCATCTATTTAAGAGAACAGGGCAAGGGATGGTAACTGTGAATAGAATGACAAACTCCAAATTAACAAGGAGAAGATGGGATGAATAGCCATTCATTCAGTCCAGCAAAGGTAAAGAAAAGAGTTCACAACACTGTTTACACATTTAAAAACAAGTAAGATGGAAATAAATTAAATGTACCACTTGGTACAGTAAATATGAGTGGACTGAATTCTTCCACTAAAAGACTCTAAGACTTTGTTAGAAATCAAATTCTGGTCAATACTACTTAGAAGAAATATACTTAAAGCAAAGTGATCAAGAAAGACTCAAAATAAAGTCGTGGGAAAGGGATACCAGACAGATAAACAGAAAGCAGCAATAATGCTGGTATCCAATAGTGATTGAATACATTTGTTAAAACATAGGATTATACACTTAAAATTGATAAAACTTATTGCATGTAAATTACAATACAGTAAAACTAGTTTCAAAAAAGAACAAAATTATAGTATTTTCAAAATTTAAACACTGAATGAAAAAGAGTGAATACTGGATACCTTTTCAATTACCCTGTATCATGTATCCCTAAAATGCTATAAAGATAGCAAGCTTTGAAAAAAAAAAAAAAAGAGGGGCGCCTGGGTGGCTCAGTTGGTTGAGCGACTGCCTTCAGCTCAGGTCATGATCCTGGAGTCCCGGGATCGAGTCCCAAGTCCCACATTCCATCGGGCTCCCTAGCCCAGCCGGGAGTTTGCTTCTCCCTCTGACCCTCCCTCCTCTCATGCTCTCTTGCTCTCTCAAATAAAAAATTAAAAAATCTTTAAAGCAAAAAAAAAAAAGGGAGTATTTATTTCAATAAATTATAGAAAGAACAAGAAACCAAAATTAATCAGGAAATATCAAAATCTGACATGAATGAAATGGAGAACAAAAATACTAAAAAGCATGAATTTTAAAAAGTTCTTTAAAAGGGCTAATAAGGGGGATGCCTGGGTGGCTAAGATGGGTGAGCATCTGCCTTCAGCTCAGGTCATGGGTCCTGGGATCGAGCCCCACATTGGACTCCCTACTCCGAGGGAAGCCTGCTTCTCCCTCTCCCACTCCCCCTGCTTGTGTTCCCTCTCTTGCCGTATGTCTCTCTGTCAAATAAATAAAATCTTTTAAAAAAATAAAAATAAAAATATAAAAGGGCTAATAAAGTAAACCTCTTATAAGCACAAAGAAAGAGAAAAAAGAGCAAAAATAGACAAGATTAGTTCCGAGAAAGAAAACATGACAGAAGAAAAAAATTAAAGAATTATAAAAAGGTACAACCTAAAATTACTCTCATCAACTAACTTGAAAATTTAAAGGAAATGCATACACTTCAGGAAAAATGTAAATGACCAAAACTGGCCCAAGAGAAAGAAGTTTGAATAGCTCAACCTACCTTAGAAAAAACTAGAATAAGGTGATTATAGACCTACTTTTGGAAAAGATTGCATTCAAAGGGCACCAGAGCTGAGTTTTATCTATTCTTTTTTTTTTAAATCAATAGAGAGAGAGAGAGAGAGAGAGAGAGAATGAGCTGGGGGAGGGGCAGAAGGAGAAGAAGTAGACTCCCCACTGAGCACAGAACCCAAAATGGGGCTCTAGGGCACTATCCCAGGACCCTGAGATCATGACCTGAGCCAAAGTCAGATGCTTAATGGACTGAGCCACCTAGGCGCCCAAGTTTTATTTATTCTTAAATAATGATAATTTCCATGCCATTTAATCTAGTCAAAACTATAGGGAAAAGAAGAAAAGTTCCCATATTTAATATTTAGAGCCAGCATAATTTAATACAATTCCTAATAAAAATTCTTTTTTTATAAAACTTTTTTTAAAGATTTTATTTTATTTATTTGACAGAGAGAGAGAGAGAGAACGCAAGAGAGGGAACACAAGCAGGGGGAGTGGGAGAGGGAGAAGCAGGCTTCCCGCTGAGCAGGGAGCCCGATGCGGGGCTCGATCCCAGGACCCTGGGACCATAACTTGAGCCAAAGGCAGACGCCCAAGGACTGAGCCACCCTGGCACCCCCCTAATAAAAATTCTAAGTAAAAATGAAAAAGAGGAAAACCGCTGAAACTTAATGAAGACTTTTTACTAAAACCTAACAGCAAATATTGTTCTCAATGGTGAAATATTAAAACCACTTCCATTAAAATAAACATTTAGACAGAGATGCCTACTATTATTATTATTTAACATATCTTGGACGTTTTACCAAATGCAGGAAGTCCTTAACCACACTTACATTTTTGTTAAGTAAAGGAACATCTGCACAGGTTCTGGGGATTCAAGTGTGACATTTTGGAGAGGCCCTTAATCTGCCTACCATGCTCTGTCTATATGGATTAGTGCCTCCTGGGGCCAGTGAATTAAAATAATGAAGATGGATATCACCTGACTCCCAGGGTCTCAGGAGACTTCCTTGACTTCTTGATGTGGGCTGGACTTCACCAAAATTTACACAGATGAGCCCCTTTCCACACAGCAAACTCTTTCCCAATGCCCTCATAGCTGGGCTCCCTCCTCTTGTCGACCTTTACAACCCAGAGCCCTGTAATACACAATGCAGAAGCTAGGAGAGAGTAAGGAGCGGGCTCTGGTGTCTGTCCTGGAGGTGCTCACATGATATGATGGCTATGCAAAAGCTGAAATGCATAGCAGTGGCCTCTCGGCTCTGAAAAGCCTGCAGGCTCTCCTGGCATGTGGGCAGGTGAGGCGCAGCCTGAGTTACAGGTGTCCTTCATGATGTCCAGTCTTGAAAGGTAATGTGAAGGTCAATTTTGCAAAGACCACATATGACACACATGGGGAAGAAGGATCCCACTCTCACAGCCTAGTCCAAAAAGAAGACATTGGAAGGGAAAGGAGAGCATCCTAAGGGGCTGTGTAACTATCACTAAAAGAGCTAAGGAGGACAGAGACGCAGGCTGGGCCTTCTTCACGTACCCATGCCATTGTGGAAATGCAGTCTAGTTCACTCCAGTTGCATTGAGTGCCCTTTCTTCTGAAGCCTCTCCAAGGGTCCGTTTTTTTTTTTTTTTAAGATTTTATTTATTTGAGAGAGAGAGCATGAGAGAGAGAGAGCATGAGAGGGAAGAGAGTCAGAGGGAGAAGCAGACTCCCTGCTGAGCAGGGAGCCCGATGTGGGACTCGATCCTGGGACTCCAGGATCATGACCTGAGCCGAAGGCAGTCACTTAACCAACTGAGCCACCCAGGTGCCCTCCAAGGGTCCGTTTAGGCAGCATACTCATTGATTCTTTTCTTGAGCACATACTGGAAACCTGGTTTGGCATTTTACCTGGTATCCAGACCATGTTCACTTGTGTACTGGTTCTGAAAATGAGGGCATTATCTACAGTTTACTGAATTCCTGCAAATGTTCCTGCAACTGATCTACATATGTGCTGCCCCCACCCCCGAACACTACTCCAAGTACCCCAACTGCCCCCCCTCCGCCCCCAGCTGTTCTATACGCTCCCACTCAGGCTCACAGGCCCCAGAGGCCCCCAGGGAGCCACCAACTCCCCCCACCGTCTGTTATCTGGAGGAAGCCCTGATAGGGGGACTGGGGGAGGGTTGTTGGAAACTTTAATTAAGCAAGGATGGTTAACAGCTGCAGGGTCACCTTAGGAAACAGTGAGCTTGAGAAAAGAAATATTTCTATCATCTGTCCCCATGACCTTTTAAGACTTTTCTGCAAATGGCTCCTCATTCCCTGCCATGGAAAAAAATAACAGCCATCACAGGCACCCTTCAGCCCACAGAATCCTGAGCTTAACCCTTCCAGCAGGCCCTCTCACATAGAGGTGCACCTCACACAGACACCCCGATGGACCACAGAGACCTGAGGATGCATGTTCACACGTGCACACGCACACTCACGCATACACCTGCCTCTTCTCAGGTGACAAATGTGCTTTCCTACCTCAGTGGGCACTTTCTCTGCGAGGGCTGGGTGGTGTTGCCGGGCGGAGCTCTCAGCAGATCCACAGGGCCCGTTACAACCCCTCCACACACCACTAGTCATACACTACAGCTGTCAGCATGCGGCAAGGACCTCTTTCCCCTTCCTTTTTCCTCCCCACAGGTGCAGCATGTGAAGAGGTTCTGCGGGGGCAGATGCCACTCCCTCCAAGTGGGTTTTTTCCCACCCACGTAGCCTGTCTTGCCTCAGCCTCTTCGCCCCCACAGAAGTAAGCCCTTTTGGGGTCATTGCTTGGTAAAAGAGTGTTAGGGAGCACCACTGAACCATGCTCAACAGCCCTCCTTCCCCTGCCGGTTTCCCTCCCTTCTATCAGCCAGGCCTTCACCACCCATGAGGGCCTCAAGCCCTTGGTCTTCTCCCACAAACACCCCCTTTTTGCTTGGGGCTGGGTGTAAAGGGACAATATTGAAACTTTTTAAGAGAAGAACTTTAGGTAAGTAAGAAAACAAAATAAAACAAAACCAAGAAAATATCAAAACCTCAGGTCCAGAGTCTGTGAGCTCAGCACCCAGCCCTTTCCCTGCCTCCCTTCTAGAAAGCCACTACCCTTCTTCATCCCCACTCAACTCCTTTGCTCATCTGCCCTGACCCCCCACAAGGGTGCATGAGGGCTCAGTGCTGCAGGTTTTTCCAAAGGTGCACAAGCTCGGGTTGTCCCTCATCCTCACCCCCAGCCCAGGCCTATCCCCAAGCCTGTGCCTCCTGGACTCAGCTTGCTGGATCCAGCTCAGATGTCTGGACACAGGATGCCATGAGTCCAGCAGGGGGCAGGATGGGATGGGGAAGGGGCTGATTGGCCAAAGGTGTGATCAGGAGGGAACAAGGCTGGACAAGGCCAGGGAAAGGCTGTGAAGAGGGAATCTAGGGGGGTTTATAGAAGAGAAACAGTGTGGTCCCAGATCCTCTGCATCCTCCAAAGCGCTGCCACATTCTCAGGAAGGGCTTTGGAGTGAGAACCTCCTTGTGTGTGAGATCCTCAGCAGTTCTGCAGGACTACAGCAGGAAGGGAGCTGGGTCTACCCTGAAAGCCTCCAAACTGATAGGGAAATGAGCTCCACCAAATCAAAGCCCCCTTTCGGGGAGCCCAGACCTGCTGGGAACCCCAGGATGATGAAGAGCAGAGGCTCCACACTAGGATCCCCCAGTATGATGGGGAGGATGGAGCTCTACTTTGGGAGATCCTCTGGGTTCAACTGGGCACAAAAGAGCTCTGACAACACATGGATAAGCCTGTGGACATAGCAGCCAAGAGAAGAGCAAGGGCAAATCAGGGTAGATGATCAGGAGGACATGCATTTTGAGTGCAGCACTGCCAAAGTGTGTGTGGGATGCATGAAGGGGGAGCACAGGCAGGACGAAGGGACAGGTCTAAGTAGTGATCCAGTGACACCTCCAGGCTCTACGTCCATGTTCTGGACCTCAGTTTCCCATCCCCTGTCCCTCTGGAAACCACCCCATCAGGGATGCAATCTGCTTCACTGAACCCATCTGTCTGACACTTGTTCACATCTTCCTCTTTTGTAACTAGAAGTCACAGGGCAAAGCATTAAGCTGTGCAGTCACAGAAGGAACACAGAGCCTAAGAGCGTGAAGGGACAGAGGGGACAGTGTCAAGAGAAGCTTTGAGTTGGTGGATGAAGGAGGAGACGGGTGGGAGCAGAGGTGCTCAGGGCAATGGCAGAGGCCATCACCTATGCAGACCTGCGGTTCGTGAAGGCTCCCCTGAAGAAGAGCATCTCCAGCCGGTTAGGACAGGGTAAGGGTGAAAGAGGCATCTCTTTGATTTTGCATCCCCAAGCTCCCTCATGACCCCACCCCCACCTCCACCTTTTCTCTCCTCTCCAGACCCAGAGACTGATGAGGATGAGGAACTCACCTACGAGAATGTACAAGTGCCCTCAGTCTCAGGTGGGCCCGTGAGCTCGGCTTCTTCTGGAGTAGGGGACAAAGCAGGTACGGAGAGTCCAGAGGATGTATGTTTGACAGGGTGGGGTGTGTGGGGGGGTGTGGTGTGTGTGTGTGTCTTGAGCTGGGACTCCACGGTATTCTTGAGCGGGTGGGGGCGGCGGGGGAGACACAATATCCCTGGGAAAGGAGGAGCGTGCTTAGGAAAGAGAAGAATGAGCCCTGGATAAATGGGAACCAAGGAAGAATAAAGCTCCCCGGGGCAAGGTGGAGGTCCAGTGGGGAGAAAAGGGCTCCTAGGAGAGATCAGGGCAGCCCCTGTGGGGAGATGAATTCGAATGGGAAATAGGGAGTCACGGGACAGAGAAAAGAGGGTAGGGGAGAGGGATGAGAGCACTTCTCGGGAGAAGGTTTGGGGCAGGCAGATGGGGGGTGCTGAGTAAAACCTAAGGGGAGACCCAGGAGGGAGAGGAAGGGGTCCCGGGGGAGAGGATGTAGTAAGACCCAGGAGAGACACAAGAGTCCTGGGGGAGATGCGGGACTCCGGAGAGTGCTAAGGGTGTCCCAGAGCATCTCAGGATGTCGCAGAAGGCTTCTCGGGCCAGACTGGAGAGGGAGAGGGGGAGGAGGAGGGGGAGGGGGAGGGGGAGGGGGAGGGGGAGAGGGTGGAAAGAAGGGGAATTTCCCGGGGCTTCCATTCTTCAAACTGGACTCGCTGCGGGTCCTCAGGGCTCCAGTTGGAGCGGCCAACTGCGTCCTGGAGCTCCGTGACGTCACCAGCTGCCGGGAGGCTCCTCGCGGGTGAGTACCCAGCCCTCCCCGCCTGCGCGCGCCCTCCGCGGCCCCGCCGGCGCTCTTGCGGGGCGGGGCGGGGCCTCGGGCGCGGCGGCCTTTCCCACTTCGCCGACCCCGCTACGCCCCGCGGGGTTGTCACCAAGTACGGTGCTGGCGCGGTCCCAGCGGGGCTGATGCTGGGCCCGGCGATGTGCGGGCCCGGGACCTAGAGTGAGCCCGGGGAGCAGCCTTCCGGACTGCCTCTTTGACCCCTATACCCATATGTATCATTCCCACAGGTTGACCCAGATCTTCCCTCCACCCCCTTTACAGTGGTCCCCATTCACATACCCCTGTCCTCTGTCTCCGTCTGAGATTTAGTTCTCATCCTACCAGATAGCGCCCCTCAATCCTTACCAGTAACGATCCCAGCCCTTATTCTGGAACATCTTCCTTCCGCTGCCTGCGGAAATTCACTACCCCACAAAACCCACCATGCCGGCACCACATCCTCTGAGGGTGCTCTTTCCCATGAATATCCCCCACCCCCACCCAGCCCCTCAGTCTCTAAACTTTCCTGGGGCTCTCTGCCCTTCATCCCACTGTCTCCCGAAGGCCGCGCAGCCTGTACGCAGTACCTCCTTCTTGGCCTGCTCCTCACCTGCCTGCTGTTAGGGGTGGCCGCCATCTGCCTGGGAGTGCGCTGTGAGTATGGATGTCCCCCATTTCCCACTTGCCACAAGCAATTTTCTCCCCTACTCTCTCCCCAACAGCTGCCCTTCCTCCAGGCAGGGCCCAGAGTCACTACCACCATATCCTTAGCTTTTCATCTAGTTTCTAGCCAGGTTTGTTTTAGAGTGTGGTGTCTTCCTAAATCGTCCTTACCTAATCCAGTACCTCCTTAAGCTTGAGGCAGTCAGATCTTATATTTCAGCCTGTTTTGCAAAAATTTGCAAGAAGCAGAAAAAGGACTGACGCTGAAGTCTCAGGGCACCAGGGCATGGCTCAAGATGTCCTCCAAATCTCTCATTATGGCCGAACAGATCTGCAGGTGTCTCAGCAGCTCCAGCAGACGAACAGTGTTCTGGAAACCACTAACAGCAGCCTGAGACAGCAGCTCCACCTAAAGATAACCCAGCTGGGGAAGAAGGAAGAGGATCTGCAGGGGTCCAGGAGGGAACTAGCCCAGAGTCAGGAAGCACTACAGGAGGAACAGAAGGTTTGCCAGGCTACCCAAGAGCAGTTACAGGCCTGCTGGTCTGAGAAGGAGAAGACAGAGGAGGCCTTGCAAAGTAAGGAGGTGCAGAGGATGACCTTGGAGCAGAGGCTGAGCAGCATGCAGGCCACACTGAAGCCCTTATTCACATGCCCCTTAGCAGGTATCCGCTCTGGGAGAGGAGAGATGGGAGGGTCTGCTGTGAGGGATGGATTGAAGTGAGGAGACACTCGTGGCAGGGGTCTATCTGTCAGGGGGTCATTGAGTTGTTGAGAAAAGGGATAGCAAGTGAGAGTGGTGGCCAATAGAGAGGAGGATCAAGCTGCTTTCTGGATTTAGGGCGACTCACAGAACTCTCAGGCAGATCCTGTAGGAGGAAGGAGGTTGGCTGCTGGAAATGCAGATCACACTGTCCAAAGCACCAAACTCAGGTGCCCTTGATAGCAGTGTCAAAGATCTGGGAACCCCCTGAGTTGGGATGTGGAATTGGTTGCACATTTTTCTAAAGAGAGGGTCTATAGCTTTAATTATTTCTCACTACATCTGAGATTCCCCAAGGGTTAAGAATTACTGATTGATGAGGTGCGGTGTGGCGGTGGGGCAAGGTAGCTGAAGCTCTCTGGTGTGGGTGGCGCTCACAATGAGGTGGGTGGGGGTGAGGAGCTGGGGTGGAGAGTTCATCTATTTTGAAGGCAGGAGCCCAGGCAGTATGTGGGGATGAGGGAGGGGGCCACAGAAAAGGGGAGAGGCTGTGCAAGAAGCAGGCTGAGGTTCGAGGCAGGGAGCCAGGCCCAAGGCAACTGGAATGTTCATGCACTGGTTACCTATGGTCCAGGTTTGGCTCTGTCTAGCTCAAGGGGCATCGGGAGATTCCCCCAAGGCTTAAGAGGGTGAACTGATGTGCAGACACCCCCAGCCCTCGTGTCTTTAGCCTTCTCATTCCCTGTGACCCTCAGTCCCCGCCACCCCCAGGCCATTCCCTCAGCTGCACCCCAGACCTCAGCTCTTCTGCTGGAAGGCTGGTTTCAGACCTCCACTCTGACTACAGCTGCCTGCTCCAGGCTTTCCCCACACTTCTTCTTCAACCTCATTGATGACTCCAACCCGCTGTCTCCCGTTTCCTCCCTTTGCCTCGGCTGTCACTTCTCTGTCTGCCCATCTTGGCTTCTGGGGCCCATCACTTTAGCCACTGGCTCCTTTGTTCTGTTGTCCTTCTGGTGCACCAGAGTGGCAATATCTCAACTCTGGATGAACTCCCCCCTTGCTCCTGCCGCACCCAGGTGTGCTGTATTGTGCTATCATTCTGCTTGGTGCCACCAAAACTCTAGTCTCAACCTCAGCCCGTTCCTCAGGCCGCCTGGCAGCTGTGCAGTGGTCGGCTTGCTCTCCGCTTGAGCTCCTTATCCTACCACCTCTCTCACTTTTAGCAGGTGCCCTACTCCGTCAGAAGAATTCCCTTCATTTTCCACCACTGAGTCCATTCACATTTCTGCCCACCCCCATCTTTTGCAAGGATCACTGCAACGGCTTGCTGCATCATTTCTCCTAAACATCCTCTCCCCCTCCCCCCATCCACTTGTCACGTGGCAGCCAGGGTAATCCTTTAAAAACAAAAATCTGATCATGTCATTCCAGTTAATTAATTACATCAAAAGTTATGGCATACATACTATATGTCCAAGCATTGTGCCCAAGCACTTGGGATATAGCCAGTGAACAAAACTTCTCTATGTAAAACCCTACATTGACTTACTTTTCCTTGTAATATGAAAATAAAAAAAATCCTTAGCCTGGTTTCCAAGGTCCCTGCCTACCTTTCAGCATGCCACTTACCCTCTCACCCTCTTCCATCTGGCCGCACCGACTTCGTATTCCTTTTAGTTGCCATAGGACAGAAACTCAAGAAGGTAGCTGGGTGAGGGCAAGAGACAATGTAGACAGAAGAGAGGGAGCTGGGGAAGGAAGGAAGGAAGGATCTTTGAGTGCCGCAGGTAGGACTCCTGGAACAGAGCAATGAGAGAGGTGGGTTGCGATCAGGAGCACAAATTGGGGTATGGGTTGTGAAAGAAAGAGGGATGTTTCTTGCTTAGAGATAGTCAGGAACAGAGGAACAGAGCAGAGGCAGGTTTTGGGGTGGAAGGGAAGGAAACGGAGAGAGTTCATATCAAGAGTCTGACAATTTCAGCAGAACAGCAACCAAGGTTATTACTTGTAGAGGTGTGGAGAGAGGGAAGGAGGTGGCTAGCAGCTTGGAGGGTGTGAGCAAGTTTTGAATACGCAGCAAGGAATGCTTTAGGGAGCAATTGAGATGATTAAGAGGCCTATTGAACACTTACGGGGGGCCCAGGTGAGGTCAGCCAAAGTGTGGGGGGGAGACTGCAATCATTCAGAAATTGGGAATAGTATCACCACCCTATTAAAATAAACCTCCTAGACTGTTAAGGAGTGAGGTTGTGAATATTAAAGACTTTTACTAAATATGAATAGGAATGGCATTCCCAGGGGATGCCAAAGACAGATGGCAAAGATGAAGGGCTAGATGTCAGTGAAGGTGCTGGGAGTAGACCAAGGTGGGCACTGTTAGCAACCAGACTGAGGAACTGTCACTTTCATCCTAAATGAGGAGATCTCCCTCCTGGGTCTGGGCTGTGCTGTCACATTCTTTCTGGTTTATAGATACCTGCTGTCCCGTGGGATGGACACTGAACGAGAGGAGCTGCTTTTACATCTCATATACGGAGAGAAGTTGGCAGGAGAGCCAAGACCACTGTAAATCTCTGTCCTCTGACCTGGCCGCATTCAGTGATGGTCCTTATTCTTCAGTAAGCATACCTTGTTCACAGACTGTAGCGGGTACTCTTAGGTAAAGGGATAGATGTCACCGAGTCAGAAACAGCAGTGCACACAGGGCATGCGTTCCTTTGCCATGCAGCTTCTCAGCGCAGTGCTCCAGGCGGCCCCTACCAACTGGCCGGAGTTGGCACAAGAGTCGAAACTCATGAACCATCTTTACTTGAAATTGTTTCTCATCTCAGCTTTCTGGTCCCCTTTCCAGGGCTGCTTAACAGCTTCTTTGACTCTCTTGGCCTCTCAGGCAGAGAGGTCCCATATCTGGTGGGCTGGATTGCTGGGATTGGCTCATTATGACCAGAGCCACCCATGGAATGACTCCCCTTCAAAGGCTGGCAGAAATTCTTACCCAGCTGGGAGGTGAACTGAAGGGCGAGCCTGCACCTACAAGGTGGCGCTCGAAGGCCGCAGGGACAGGTCACCGATGAGCTGATGTCTTGCGCCAGACAGTCCTCTTGTCAAAGCTCAGAGACCTCCCTATTGTGCTCATCTTCTTCCATCGGCCCATGTCCCCTCCTCCCTACACTGGCCCCCCCTGCACCGGAATATTTCTCATCATTCTCCACATACCTCTTGTCTCTCTGAATCTCCCCTCAGCTTAGAAACCTCAACAGTGCAAGGAAGATGTTGACACAAATTAGTCCGCCTGGTTCATTTTGGACTGGTCACAGCTTTAAGAGGTTGCCGCAGGCTGACGGTAAACAGCCCTTTTGGTAAGTCTGTTGGGACTTCTGGACATATTCAACTCCATAATTCCTTCATAAAGACATAGTGATGAGATTCCCCTCCTACTCCCAAAGTTTTGGGAGGTCCTGCTCTCAAAACTCACAAGTCAATATTGTAATTGCCTACTTGTCCATTCCCTTTACTTAAAACTCTTTAGGACAGTCTTCTTTTCTGGCCCCTTCCCAGTACCTGGCAGTCCCAGGCCCTTTTTTTTTTTTTTTAAGTTACTAAGTTGGGACCTATCTCGTCTTTCTCTCAGAGGGAGAAGCTGAGGCTTTAGCTAGGACTTCACAGCTCACGAACCCTGGCATTCTAACTTCCCATCTCTTGACAAGGCTACCCAAACTGAGGTGGCACTTTCTCAGTCAGGGACTCTTGGGGCACTAGAGTTGCCTCAGGGAGATGAGGGAGCAGTGGGATAACTCTGAAGATCAACTCCAGGGACCCTGAAACAGGGGAGTCATCTCCTATGTTCCCTATGGAGTTTCCATCTTTAATACCTTGGGTGATTTCCCCCTCCCCTGGTCCTAAAGCCTCTTTGAGTTAGAGTAGACATCTGTCCCTGAACCATACCCAAACATGGCCTTAGGCAGGCTGGGCAAGTTAGAACTTCATTGTGTTTAATGCAGGGCAAGGGGAGAGAAGGGAGGGTGGGAGAGGAGGGGCAGGGCTTAACCAAGTTCTACCTCACCAATCTTTAGGTATTATGGTGAAAGCTCAAGATGTTACAAGGTACAAAGCAAGTGGCCAAGAATGCAGCAGGAGGACTGTAGTTCTCCAAATCCCTGCATCTGTGAGATGGCAGCTTTCAAGCATCCAGATAGGGACCACTTTTTGCCCTGAGTTGGGTAAGCATGACAAATCGACTGAGGCATGGGAGTTGGGGAGCAGGGAGGGAGAGGAACTCAAGAGCAAGGGCTCAGAAGCCAGGGGTAAAACTTATTCCTGAGAGTGACGGTCACCTCTACAGCCTTCAAGGTCTTGGTCTGCTTATGTAACGGGGGTCCGGGGGTCGGGCAGGAAAGGTCTGGACCTGAAGGGAGGCTGGTGATGTGGCTGTCCAGGGAGGTGGGATGAGCTGGATGAATGCTCTTATTAACAGTCAACTGCAGAACTCACCGGTGCTTTACTCTTATAGGTACTCATGCCAACAAGAGCCTGTACCCCTCACCCCTAACTGCAGTCTGCAGGCCCTAAGATCATCTCCCTCCAGCGCCCTGTCACTCCGCCTGGGCAGTGCCCAGCCAAGGGCTGATCCATGCCCAACACTTCTAGCCAGCCTGCTGCCTGCTTGAAATCCTGCCCCAGAAACTGGACTGTTCCTGGGAAACGGGTGAAGAAGTCGTTAGATTTTGGCCTCCCCAAGAATTTCCTATGGTGGAATTGCAGGGGGGTGGAGGAGGGCGCATGGGCTGAGTGGATAGGGGCAGCCCGGAGCCAGCCAGGCAGTTTTATTGAAATATTTTTAAATAATTGCACGTGTTAGTCTCATGTGTCAGCAATGCTTTGTCTGGTTCAGTGATCGCCCACAGAAGAGCAAACCCAGGGGCTGGATAGGAAATGTTCCGTCCCTTGAATCCATGCTGAGGCTCCCCTACATGGGGAGCAGAGCCGGTCAGCCCATCTGGGGCTGGCACTGTCCAACATGTGTGCTCAGTCCTCACAGGGCTTCCTGAAGGCCAAAGTTAGAGGCCAGAGACCACAGGCCCCACTGTTAAGAGCGCGCCCCGGGCAGCTGCAGGCCGGGTGTGGGAGGCTTGGCGTGGTGCCCTCGGTGGCAGAGGAGACTGCCCGCCTCACAGTTCAGGTTGCGGTAGCGGGCAACAGCTGGTGTGGGGCGGGGGCACATGGACAGGAAGCCAAAGCTGAAAGGGCCAAGACAGCAGCCAGGGCAGGGCAGCCCCTCATCAGACTCCCGGGGAGCTGAAGGGGGCGGTGAGGGTTCTGTCCGCTCCAGGGCTGCTGCCCGGGGCAGGCTATGCTGGGCCCGGTTCCACGGCTCCCCAGCCCAGCCCTGTGGGGAGTTCACCACCACAGCCGGGGGGTTGTTGTTAAGGACAGGTCCTGATCTAGGGGACCAGGGCTGGGAGGCTGAGGAACAAGTGCTGATGAAGTTGTCTGTGGCCACGGCCAGGGGCAGCTGGGGAGCTGGTCCTGGGGGTTCTGGCTCAGGGCTACTGCCCTCACACTCCATTCTTTCTTCAGCCGAGGGGCCCACGCTGGGAGGGCCAGGACCTGGCAGTGCTGTCTCCATACGTCGGGGGAGCTCAGGGGATGATGGGAGCGAGCGGCAGCGACGGGCAGGGGTCCCGGGGTGGATCAGGATCTCTGGAGTGGTCACCAAGGGCAGCTGCGTGGAGGGCAGTGGTGATGGTGCAACAAGGGGCAGGGGCCCGACTGGCTTGCTGGGTGTGTCCAACAGCTTGATCTTGCCTCCCCGGAGGTCTTCCCGGAGTGAGAAGGGGTTGACGCGAGTCAGATTGTCCCCCCAGTTGGGGGGTGATTCTGGTGACGGGGGCAGGAAGAGGTCTGACCGGCTTCGGGAAAGCCGGGGGTCTGGCCTAGGAAGTGTGGCAGAGGGAACCCCTCTTGAAACAGACCCTGTAGACAGAGAAGTCTGTGGTTACTGTTCTCAGCATTGATCATGGCTCCTTGAGGCCTCATTATTCACCAGGAGGCTGGTGGGACCAGAGCTCACAAAAAGGAGGCCCATTGGGTACTTTGGACAGGGGGAGATGTGACCTCTAGCCCTCCTTTACCTCTTCTTTCCTTCTTCCCCTCCCTTGGCTCTAGAATTTGGAAATATCTTATTTGAGATGTCCTTTCATACCCCCACCCCCCAACTAATAAATACACTTAGTCTTAATCCCCTGAGTTCTAAGGAAGAGGCAGAAGGAATTCAGGTGGGTCAAGGTCATGCTCACTTACTCTGACTGTGTGTCAGGGGAGCTCTGGTGAGGGGGGCTGGCTCAGGCAGCTGCTCCAGGATCCATTCCAGGTGCTGGGTGATTTCGGTGAAGGGAGCACGAGTGCTTGGTTCCATCTGATGAGTAGAGACAGGGACAGCTTCACTCAGTGCTCCAAAAGAGGGTCCCTAGGTTTTCCTCCCACCACCTGGAACAGGAAAGCCTTGCCAGCTGATGGATGGGGGTGGTGGGCAGGGAGAGAGAGGCTCTTACACTGCAGCAGTGGATGGCTAGGAGCAGGAAGGGCAGTGGGCAGTCATCCCCTACCAGGGTCCGGAAAGCAGGCACATCCAGGCCGAAGTCCTGCGGGGACAGAGAGGAGGGGCCTTCAGGTCAGCCTTCCTTGGGTTCGCCTTCTGATCCCCAATCAGGACCTCAACCTCCAGGGAACCCTCCTCGGTTATGAGCTGCCCAGTCTGGAGCTCCCCCTTATCAAACCTGGAGACATCATTCACCTCAGTTCGGGGCAGGTAATCTGGGTCCGCAGGTACTCGTGCAATGAGCTCACAGAGGACAATCCCAAAGGCAAAGACGTCGGCCTGAGGGGAGGAGAGAATGTCAGCGGGAGTAACTGATGGTTTTCATGTCAGAATTTTGTCAGAATATGTCAGAATTTGGGGGAAGTCTTGATAGTTTTATGCATTGGAGGGGTGCCTATGAGCGGGCAAGGAGGAATTTGGGGGTCTCCTAAATATTCTGTATGGCTGTTAAAGGACTTGGGATGGGGCCTTCTAAAAGTATCTCAAGGGTCTCTGGAAGGCCTTGGAATCTGAAGGATTGATGTCTTACCTTCTCATCATACAGCTCACCCCGCAACACCTCTGGAGCCATCCAGTATGGGGAACCTACCACAGCCAATGGCTCCTTTCTTGCCCCTTCCCTGCAGGGGTAGGGGCAGAGTGATCAGAGACACCCCACTCAGATAACCCCCCTAAACAAAAGGGGATGAGTTCAGCCCCCTCCCCACTCCAAAGGAGATGTCTCTGGGGGCTTCACTTAGATAGGGACCTTCTAGAAAGTTTGGGGGGGCCCAGGGGCATTCACCTCACCTATACACAGGAATCTTTTCAGCCAGCCCGAAGTCACCCACAACAGCCGTGAAGCCTCGGTCTTCCCGTCGGATCAGACAGTTCTGACATACATATAAGCCATCACCTTCTGTTCTCTGATCTCCCAATATATACCCCAAAGCCCTGTCACTCCACAGTAACCCCAACCCTCTCTGATCTCCCAGTTCTCCAGTGCACCCCAATCTTTCAACATCATCTATCACTCCAAACATAGCGTGGTACTCAGCCCCTCAGAGCTCCCCCTCACCCCAGTCCCCATTCTCCAGGGCCTTGCTACTCCAACATCCTAACAGGTCTACTACCCATATTCTAACATCTATGGGCCGGTTACAATGTAATAGCCTCAAATCCCCTTTCATGCCTCCACCCACCTGGCCAGCCTACCTTGGATGTTAAGTCTCGGTGGAATACACCTTTGGCATGTAGGTACCGCAGGCCGCGGGCAATGTCCAGAGCCAGGTGGAGCCTGACAGGCCAGGATAGGGGTTCTGGGGAGCTGAGCAGCTGTTCCAGGGTCCCCCCATTCATATACTGAGGCATAGGGGGAGAAGGGGAATGAATGTTAAGGTTTCCGCCTGTACTCTAGGTCTCCCACTTATAAGCCAGGGGACACTCAGGAGGAGGGATCACAAAGGTCAGAAGGGTGAGTCTGTGCTCTAGGGTCCCCCACTCATATTCTAGGGCTGTCCTGTCCAAGACATGTGCAACTATTTAAATTATTAAGTTTAAATAAAATTAAACATTTAGTTCCTCAGTCACACTGGTCATATTTCTACTGCTCCCTAGCCACATGTAGCTATAGAAGATTTTCATCACTACAGAAAGTTCTATTGGACAGCATTGTTATAGCGCATATAGAGAATGTGACCAGCTGAGGCATTTTATTTGTGATTAGCCCAAAGGAAGTTCAGGGAAGCCTCTCATGGGAGGAGGTCCTGCTGCCTCTCAGTAGTCCTCTGTAGATGCACTGGGCGCGGACATTCTCTCTCCCCTTGGTGGTGTTGGGGGTCCCCTCCTTCCTGGCCCATCCTCACCTCTGTAAGAGCGTGCAGCTGCCCCTGGTGCACACAGACCCCCATGAACCTGGAAGAGGATGGAGAAGATAGGAGGGTAGGCTGTAAGAGTCCAGGCCCTCTACAGTTTCCACTTTTCCCGCGGGATCTTTCCTCTTCTCCCAGCAAGCTTCTCAGCAAGCGGCTGGGGCCGCTCACCTTAGGATGTTGGGGTGTCGGAGCCGGTTCATCAGCTGCACCTCGCGTAGCGTGTTTCCCCGGTTACTGGGGAGTCTGTTCATTTTCAGCACCATGACTTGCCCTGACTGTCGGTGCCTAACCTGGGGGCGGCATAGGCTGGCGAGTCCAGGGCAGATCCGCCAGGTCGCGCGGGTCGTCCGGGTCTGGGTCCCCTAGTTCCAGCCTCCCGTCTAAGGCTCGGTCCCGCCCCTCTGCTGATCCTACCTTGTAGACCTCAGAGAAGAAGCCGGCCCCGATCTTCTCGGCGCAGTGGAAATCGTCCACGCGCGCCAGGCTTGACACGGCGCTGCGGAGAGCCCGGTAGGAGGAGGGGCGGCCCCGGCCTCCACCCGTGCCCCCCGGTCCCGGGGGCCCCTCCCCCGGCGCCTCTCCGGGCCCTGGCCCAGGGCCCCGCAGTGGGGGCCGTTCCCCGGCCATGGCCGGGCCCCCAGCCCGGGCCTGCCTCACATGGCAGGGTCCCCGGGGCCCGGGCAGGCCGCGCTTGCCATGGGCGTGCGCCCAGCCCGATCCGGGACGCTGGGGCTCCCGCTCCTGCCCTGGAGAATGGAAGATCCGCGGAAGATCTTGGGCCCGCCCCCGCCGCGCCGGCTTGCAGGGCCCGGGTAGACGCCGCTCCGCTTCGCTCTGCGCAGGGCCTGGGCCTGGGCCTGGGCCGGGCGGTGGCGGTGTCTCTCCTGGGCGCCGCCGGGCAGGCGGGCGGGCGGGTTCCCCGCAGGCGGAGGCGGGCGGGCGGGCGGGCGGGCGGGCGGCAGCGGCTCCGCTTCGCCGCTGGGGTTCAGGCTCCGCGGCCTGCCGGGGGCGGGGCTGAGCCGGGCCTCCGCTTAACTCCTTCCAGTCCGGCCCACGGGCAGCGGCCACGCCCCCTCAGGTACACAACCCCCAACCGGTGGCCGCGACACCCTAAGCGAGTGGGTCTGATACGTCGAGGCCGAATTAGTTCTGGCCCGAGCTGAATAACTGAAGGGAATTATGGACTGATTGTGCGTACGCGCAGCTCAAATGTCTTTTAGCTGCCCTGGGAGTCCTTTCCCTCCTCCCACCCTCAGGCCACTGTCTGAGGACAGCCGGGCTCAGGAAGCCTCCGGATTCCTGGGCTCCGTGGGCCAGCAGGGCAGAAGAGTAGACCCTTCAGGTTCAGCCACAATCGGAGGTAGCCCAGCAACCTGCCTACCTTCCCGGCCTCCGCTCTGGCCCAGCCTGCCCATTTCCCAGGTCTCGACCCCTACACCTCTGGATTCCCTGACACTTTCTCCCTTCTCCGGCGGTTGTGGTGCCTCAGGCCTGTATAGTGAGCCGGTGGCCAGTCCGTCCCTGGTGTGGCCTACACCTTCTTACTCCATCCCGCCTCCCTCGAATAAAGTACAAAGAAAGAGAGTATCCGCCCAGTGACCACCCAGCCCGAACCTTCCTCTTACTCTTTCCTCCAAACGGCCCTATCTCTCTGCAGAGAAGCCTCCACCTGTCCGGAAGCCCCTCCTCCTGTGGGATCCCACCCCTTGGCAAAACCCCGCCCCTCCAGGAGGCCTCCCCTTCGGAGACCCCTCTCTTCCTCAGTGAGATCCCCCCGTTCACAGGGACCGTTCCTCAGTACAATACTGCCTCCGTCAGCGTGTACCAGAACCCCTCAGTGCGACACCCCTCCCACACAATGAGACCCCACCTCTCAGAGTGACTCCACCAGTCATTGTGACCCCTCCTCTCAACGTGACTCCTCCCCTCAGTGTGGCCCAGCCCTTATCAGTGTGACCCCTCTCAGGACGTTCCGCCCTCCACCTCGTAGGAATCCGGTCTGCCCCCTCAGGCTGGAGGAGGAGCTGCAGCTGGCCTCTTTTAAGTCGGCGCTGGGCCCTGACTGCGCACGCACTGTGCACCCGCAGTACCCAACGCTTCCGGTTCTCCGCTGGCTCCTCCCCCCGGCGTCGGCGAAATAGCCAATTATCGCCAGGGATGAGTGACGTCGCTCGATCCGGCAGACGCCTCCGGGGCAAGCGATTGTGGGCGGCACTGAGCAGCTTGCCACCTAGCGGCGGAATGGAGGGCGGCGGGAGTGGAGGCTGCAGGTCTCCGGAGGGAAACGGGCTGCGACGCAGCTTGAGGGAGGAAGGCTGAATTCTTTTCAAAAATTCTCAAGTACTGCATTTCTGTTTTTGTGGTAAGATGGAAAGGAAATTTATACAAGCACAGTCTGCATCCATGTGGGTGCTCGCCTTCTGACAGAGCCCTGGCCCGTGTTTATGAGAGATGGAGCCGAGTTCTGTTTAATTGTCCAAGGCTAATGAATAGAGAAAAAGCAGTCTTAGATTACAAACCGTGCCTTAGAGTGGAGAGAAGGCCAGAGGCTGTGCCCGTGCACCGTGCAAGAGAAGGTTTCGCACAGCTCTGGAGAGAGAGTGGGAGAGCTTCACCATCGTCCGAGCCAGTGGAGACGGGCCAGTCTTGAGAACAACATATGCCTGGGCCTTGTTTGGTCTCAGCAAAACAAACTCATTCATGACCTTAATGTTAGCATCCACAACTATTTAATTTGTAAGTTTGATTTCTATAGTTGTATGAGATCTATAAACACTAGGAATTTATGCTTCATTTTGTTAAAATAATATTATAATAGATAATTCACATATATCTGACCGTTTATCTAAATTTGAGAGTTACTATTGTTGGTGGTAATAATTCCAAGCAGAGGGGCCAGGATCCTGTTTTCAAAAGATCACTGTGGTTGTCCTATGGAGGCAAGGAGACTTGCCAGTGCTTCTGTCAGGAAAGGCGAAGAGACTGAGCTAGGACAGGGATAAGAGGAAGGAGAGGAGGAAACATTCAACTAATACGGGAAAGCTTGCTGATTGATTTAGTATCCAGAGTCAGTCAGTTCAGTGGAAAGAAGGAGCATCAGCCGGGATTTTTTTTTTTTTTTAAGATCTTAATTATTTATTTGAGAGAGAGAGAGAGAGCACAGTTGCGGGCGGGCAGAAGGAGAGGGAGAAGCAGACTCCCGTTGAGCAGGGTGCCTGATGCGGGGGCTTCATCCCAGGACCGTGGAATTATGACCTGAGCGGAGGGGAGGGCAGACACTTAAACGACTGAGCCAACCAGGCGCCCCGGGGCCAGATCATTCTTTATTGTGAGGTGGCTGTCTGTGCATTGTAGAATGTTTAGCAGCATCTCTGGATGCCAGTAGCAGCTCCCCTAGTTGTGACATCAAAAATGTCTCTAGACATTGCCAGTTGTCCTCTGGGGGAATGTAGGAATTAGAAAATAATATTCTATTCTTCCTTCCTTCCTCTACAAAGAGAAACTTTTCCATACCTGTTTGTTACCCAGAGATATATTTCATGTAGGAAAGGCAAGAAAAATGCTTGTTTCCCTTTTATTTTCCCAGCTTTTAGTGAGTTAGTTCCCTTGCATCCTTGAAAAATGAGATATTTTTTAATGTCAGGGTTTATTTATTTATTTTTTTTATTTAGAGAAAGCATGTGAGCAGATGGGCAGAGGGAGAGAGAGAGAGAGAGAGAAACTTAAGCAGGTTCCATGCTCAGTGCGGAGCCTCACGCAGGGCTCAATCTCATGACTCAGATCATGACCTGAGCCGAAATCAAGAGTTGGATGCTTAACTAACTGAGCCACCCAGGTGCCCCGGTTTTGTTTTGTTTTGTTTTGTTTTAATAGTACCATTATGAACTCATAATTTAACACAAGTATGTGTTTCAATTGTTGGCTGTTTTTTTATCATTTTTAAATTGTCCTATTTTGGCCAGTGGGAATGAGTCCTTTTGACACAACCCTTAAGGTTTCTTGCTATTTGATATGGTAAAATGTTCCAGGCTCATTTGTGCACTCCTAGACTAGAGCTGGTATCAGCTATTTTTTCCAGTGAGTCATAATTCCATTTAGTTAGAAATGGCATTTAGAGACCACAATCGGACTACTAGGGATATAAGATTATTTGGCCTAGGAAGAGCAGTTTCGTGAATATAGTTGATTATTCTTCTCAAAACAGTCCCCTCTACCATCTCTTTATTAGGAAAAATTTCAAATAGGCAGAAAAGTTGAAGGAATGCACAGTGAATACCTGTGTACCTTCATCTAGGTTCAACAGTTGTTAACATTTTGCTGTTTGTTCTCTTTGGGTCTCTCTAATGTGGTATATGATATATGATCTGACAGAATATAATACATTTTTATTGTACCATTTGAAAATAACTTGTAGACATCATGGCACTTCATTAGCATTGTCTCTTAAGGTCATTTTCTGTGTAACCAAAATACCATTATCACATTTTGATTACTTTCTTCATTTAATTTCTTGATTCTCCTCATATTTTATTGGCTCTTTCTTCTAGTGTCTTCTGCTGATCTTCTAGATCTTCCTGATCTCTAAGCAGTGACATACCCAGGGCTCCATCATTGGACCTCTGCTCTTCTTTCTACACACTTATGTGGCATTAACTCCAAGGCTTTAAATACTATTCACATGCTAATAACTCCCATTTTCTCTCCCACTTTTCCTCTGAACTCCTGTATTCAGTTGCTTACTCATCAGCTCCAGTTGGATATCTTTTTTTTTTTAAGATTTTATTTATTTATTTGAGACACACAGAGAGAGAGAGTGTGTGTGTGTGCACAAGCTGGGGGAGGGGCAGAGGGAGAGGGATAAGCCGACTCTCCACTGAGTGGGGAGCCTGACTCGTGGCCCAAACCCCAGACCCTGAGATCATGACCGGAGCCAAAGTCAGATGCTCAACCAACTGAGCCACCCAAGCACCCCACATCTTTTTTTTTTTTGGTTAAGATTGATTGATTTATTTTAGAAAGTGTTCATGTGCTTGTGCTTGGGCGGGGAGGGGCAGAGGGAGAGAATCTCCAGCCACTCCTCGCTGAGCATGGGAACAGGACATGGGACTCAGTCCTATTACCCATGGGATCATGACCTGAGCCGGAACCAAGAGATGGACACTTAACCGACTGAGCCACTCATGTGCCCCTTCCAGTTGGATATCTAATTGGCTTTTCAAAATCACTGGGTACAAAACAGAACTCTTGAATCTTGTACCTCTTTCCCAGCTTTTCTCTAAGGCTTTGCCATCTCAATAAATCTAATCCATCCCAATAAATCTAATCCATTAGATGCTTCAGGCAAGACAATTCAGAGTTATCCTGGACTTTTCTCTTTTTCTCTACCCCATATTCAGCATATCAACAAATTGTGTCTGCTAAATGTTTGAAATCTATCCATATCTTGATCACTTCTGACATTTTCACTGCCTCTGACCCCATCGAAGCTGCCTCCTTTGTGGTCTCTCTGCTTATGCCTGTCTCCCTATAGCCTCTTCTCTGCTGAGCAGCCAGAATACTCCTGTTTAAAGTATAAGTCGGGGTGCCTGGGGGGCTCAGTCGTTAAGCGTCTGCCTTCGGCTCAGGTCCTGATCTCAGCGTCCTGGGATCGAGTCCCACATCAGGCTCCCTGCTCTGCGGGAAGCCTGCTTCTCCCTCTCCCACTCCCCCTGCTTGTGTTCCTGCCCTTGCTATCGCTTTCTCTCTGTCAAATAAATAAATAAATCTTTAAAAAAAAATAAAGTGTAAGTCAGTTCATTTTCTCTCTCTGCTCAAAACCTTCTATTATCTCATTCAGAATCAAAATCAGAATCTTTTTTTTTAAGTTTTTATTTATTTATTTGAGAGAGAGAATGAGAGAGAGAGAGAGAGCATGAGATGGGGTTGGGTCAGAGGGAGAAGCAGACTCCCTGCTGAGCAGGGAGCCCGATGCAGGACTCGATCCTCGGACTCCAGGATCATGACCTGAGCAGAAGGCAGTTGCTTAACCAACTGAGCCACCCAGGCGCCCCAAAATCAGAATCTTTACTATTGGGACCCTTGGGTGGCTCATTCGGTTAAGCGTCTGCCTTCAGCTCAGGTCATGATCCCAGGGTCCGGGGATCGAGCCCCACATCAGGCTCCTTGCTCAGCGGGGAACCTGTTTCTCCCTCTGCCTGCCACTCCCCCTGTTCATGCTCTCTCTCTCTTCCTCCCTCTCTCTCTCTGACAAATAAATAAATAAATATTAAAAAAAAACCCAAAATCTTTACTATAGTTCTATTTTTCTCCTAATATTTATATTCTGTTCTTTTGCTTGAGACCATCAGTATAATGTTGAGTGAAGTAATGGCAGTAGACACTTGTCTCTTGTTCCTGATCTTTAAAAGAATGTTTTTGATTTTTCACTTTTAAATTTCATGTTTACTGTGGATTTTTTTGTAGCTACATATACCAGTTAGCTCTTATCACAAAAGTGGCATGTAGCTAATCACATCAAAACCCAGTGGCATAGGGGCACCTGGGTGGCTCAGTCAGTTAAGCGTCCAAATCTTAATTTCGGCTCAGGTCATGATCTCAGGGTCCTGAGATTGAGCCCCATGATGGTCTTCCCTCTCAGCAGGGAGTCTGCTCGTCTCCCTCTCCCTCTGCTCTTCCCCCTGCTCGCACTCTCTCTCTCTCTCAAATAAGTAAATAAATCTTTTTTGAGAGAGAGAGAGTACAAGCAGGGGGGAAAGGTAGAGGGAGAGAGAGAGAGAATCTCAAGCAGGCTCCATGCTCAGTGCAGAGCCCAAAGAGGGGCTCAATCTCAGGACCCTGAGATCATGACCCGAGCCAAAATCAAGAGTTGGACACTCAACCAACTGAGCCACCCAGATGCCCCAATAAATAAATCTTAAAAAAAAAAAAAAAACCCAGTGGCATAAAACAACAATTACTAATTCTTCTAAATCCCTGGGCTGACTGGGGTCAGCATTCTATACTAGGATTGGCTAGAGTGTTTTGCTGGGTGCCATCTGTCTCTCTTCCTGGGACCAGTTGGATAGCCTGGGCATGTTCTTCTCGTGGTGATGGGAGGAAGGTAAGAGGACAAGTATGGTTTTGCAACCGCTTTCCTGTCTCTGGGTCATAACATGTCTGGCAACATTCCAGTGGCCAAAGCAAGTCATATGGCCAAGCCCAATGTATACTCTGTCTAGAGTGGGGATGGTAGGAAAGGAGAAAAGATTTCTAAACAATGATATAGTATATTAATTAATCTTCTAGAATTAAACTAACTTTGCATTTGTAGTATAAACCTAACCTGATCTTGATGTTTTTTCTTTTTCTTCCCCTCTTCCCCCTCCTCCTTCCTCTCCTCCTCCTTCTACATTATTAGATTTGGGTTGCTTTTTTTGGAATTTTATTTAATTTTTTATCAGTTTTATATTGAAACATAATTGAAATACCATATAATTCACCCATTTAAAGTGTAAAATTCAGTGGTTTTTGTTGTATTCACTGAGTTTGCAACTATCATCGCAATCAATTCTAGAGTATTTTCATCATCCTAAGAAGAAGAAACCTCATGTCCGTTGGCAGTCACTCCCTATATCCCCCTCTGACTCCTTCACCGATAGTCCTAGGCAACCATTAGTTAACTTTTTCATTGTATAGTTTTGCCTCTTCTGGACATTTCATGTATTGAATCGTGCAATATACGGGCTCTTGTACCTTGCTTTCACTCAGCATAGTGTTTTCAAGGTTTATCCATGTGATAGCATGTAACAGTACTTCATTCTTTTTTATTGCTGAATAATATTCCATTGTTTGAATGTACCATGTTTATCTGTCCACCAGCTGATTGTTGTTTGGGTTGTTTCCACTTTTTGGCTGTTATGAATGATGCTCCTATGAGCATTTATGTACGGGTTTTTGTGTGGACATACGTTTTCATTGCCTCAGGTCCCTTTTGATGTGTTTTGTTCCTCTGTTCTCCCTTTACTACATTTGTTTGGTTTAAACTAATATTTTTTAGCATATAATTCTAGTTTTCCTATTTTTTTTAACATTTTAGTTACTTTCTTAGTGGTTGCTCTAGGGATTACAATCTAGTCAAATTGTTGAAAGGCAAACACACAGTTATCTAAACCTTACATAGTTGATTTGCTTTGGGTAATCCTCTGGAGAACACTTAGATGTTCTGAAGTCCCCAGCATGACATCTAACTGGTAGTGCGGGCTAGTAAAGCAATTCATATTTGAATTTATTTTTCATGTAATAAGCCATTTTACACTACTCTTATTCTCATTGTTTTTCAGTGGCTTCTTTTGTAGCTAAGCAGGTAAAGATTTTCTTCTTTCCCAACATTTATGGTTCTTATTACTTATTTTTGTTTCATGTACTATCTAGACTATCTAGAGTAATGTTGAATAATAAAGGTAATGGTGATCAGTCTTGTCTTCGTTCTGACTTTTATAAGATTGCCTAAAGTGAGGGACTATCAACTCCACACTCTGGCATCCATCTTATGCCCATGGCCAACATAGTTAATCCTTAGTACTTTTTTCTGCTAAGCCACGACCCTTTTTCAGAAACCTCACAGTAACACCCCCTAAATGACTAGTTAATCGGATTTGGTACAGTGAATCAGATCTGCTGGCCCTGGCTATTCTCTTTGAAGTAGTTGATATTGGCTGTTCATTTCAAATATTCTTTTTCATGTTTCTGTTCCTGGTTTACTAAAAAGCCTTTTAAAAATCACAAATGGATATTTAATTTTCTTTCTTTCTTTCTTTTTTTAAAGATTTTATTTATTTGACAGAGAGAGACACAGCGAGAGAGGGAACACAAGTGGGGGGAGCGGGAGAGGGAGAAGCAGGCTTCCCGCTGAGCAGGGAGCCCGATGCAGGGGGCTCCTGGGATCATGACCTGAGCCGAAGGTAGATGCTTAATGACTGAGCCCCGATATTTAATTTTCTAAAAGATTTCCCCAGGGTCTGTTAGAGTGATGAAATGGCCATTTCCTTTGGTTTATTCCTGTTAACTACATTGATGGATTTTCTAGTTCAATCATTGCTATAGTCCTAGAAACCTACTAATCTTAGTGTATATTATTCCTTTACAATATTGTTGGATTTTGTTTAGTTCATATTATGTGCCAGATAGCTGTGCTGAATGCTAGAGATACACTTGTGAACAAGATAGATAAAGTATCTGCCCGTATTGGGCTCTCAGTTCAAGGGTAATAAAGAGAGAACATTTGCCAGTGCTCCCTTATGCTGAGCCTTTGGCAGAAATCACTCAAGGTACGCTGTCTTGCAGAGCCTTGAGAAGTCCCAGAAACAGGGCCGTGGTCATTTAGTGGTATCTTCCATTGGACTGGAGGAGAGCAGACAAGCATCCTGCTATTTGCTGTCCCTGGTCTGATGTTTTATTTGTAATTTTTCATCTGCATAACTTGTATGAGGCTGTTAGGTTTTGAATTAAGTTAATACTAATTTGGTGAATTAAGTGTGATGTGGGTCTTTTGGTAGGGGGCATCTTTTTGACCATTTTTCAGGTTCTTCTGTGGCTATTATTTTATTCAGATGTTCTGTATCATTTTGGGTTGATTTTGATTTATATTTTCCTGGACAATATTAATTGCACTGAAACTTTTTGGTTTAATTACATGGAGTTTCACTTAGTATTCTTTTATAATAAAAAAATTCCTGTTTGCCTGTGTTTTTAGCCACTTCCTCATGCCACTCCGGGGGCCGGGGGGGTCTTTTTTCTTTTGGCTAGCTGTGCCAGTAGTTTGCTGACTATGTTGTCTTTTTTTTTTTTAAACAGCTCTTAGAAACATCATTTCTATTGTTTTTCTGGTTTCTGGTTTATTGGTGTCTATTGTTAGCTTCATAAATTTTTCCTCTTTTCCTTAGCTTATGATGTTCCTCTTTTTCTAGCTTCTTGAGTTGACTGCTTATTTATTAGCTAGTTAACTTAGTTGGTTTTAGACTCGTTTACCTGGCTAGGCTGTCTGCAGCCTGTTCTGCTGACATCCTCACAGCCTGCCCTGCAGCGCACAACGTCCTGCCCTCCCTCGGCACAACTGGTTGGTCAGGGCAGCCTACCCATCTGCTGTGAGGCCAGGCTTTAGAGAGACAGAGGTGGTATAGGTATCAGTGTTCATCTATATCTGCTTCTCCTTTCTTCCTGGGCACATGGAATCGTATACTTCCAAGCTGCAGAATGTTAACGATTGCTAAATCTCGGTAAAGGTTATATTTTTATTGTGATTTTTCTGTAGGTTTTTTTTTCCAAATTAAAAAGTTAAAAAAATATATATATACCAGGGACCCAATTCCCAAAATAACCTGGATGGGGCTGGACATGAATATTTTTTAAAAAACCACTCTGTGTAATTCTGAAGCACATCCCTGCTTAAGAAATCATTGTTACAGAGATGATGGGGGAAGAGGAGCTCATTTTGCGATGAGCCACACGCACACTGAAGCTATGAGGGAATAGAAATCCATCTGGGAAACGGAGGGACAGAGAGTTTGCAGATTGAGAGAGAGAATGAGGGGAGGAGAGAGAGAGAGAGAAGTGAGCAGATTCACAGAGAGAAGCACGTGGCCCCAGGGAGAAAAGAGTGAAAAAAAACAGCTTTCACTTTTATCAGCTTTCAAGTTTCTCAATTCCAGGTTCTACGAGGCCAGGCTATATAGTTCGTGCCTTGGGTCCCCATGAAATCGGATTCATCTTTTTTTTTCTCAGTTTTTTATTGTTATGTTAATCACCATACATTACATCATTAGTTTTTGATGTAGTGTTCCATGATTCATTGTTTGCGTATAACACCCAGTGCTCCATGTAATACGTGCCCTCTTTAATACCCATCACCAGGCTAACCCATCCCCCCACCCCCCTCCCCTCTAGAACCCTAGTTTGTTTTTCAGAGTCCATCATCTCTCATGGTTCGTCTCCCCCTCTGACTTACTCCCCTTCATTCTTCCCCTCCTGCTATCTTCTTCTTCTTTTTTTTAACATATATTGCATTATTTGTTTCAGAAGTACAGCTCTGTGATTCATCAGTCTTGTACAATTCACAGCGCTCACCATAGCACATACCCTCCCCAATGTCTATCACCCAGCCACCCCATCCCTCCCACCCCCCACCACTCCAGAAATCGGATTCATCTTTAAGATAATCTCTCCTTCCTCTTACTCTTCATCCTGTTCCTGTACTTGGGCCAGGAAAAGTGGACGGTTGTTTTTTGTCACAAACCCCGCTCCCACTGGAACGCTTGTTGTGATATTATTGACATTTTATTAGGTGCCAGCAACCACTCTGCTTTATATTACCATTTAAGTTTACAGTATTATGCTTACAGTATTACTATTCTCATTTTATAGATGAGGGGACAAGAGATCCAGAGAGGTTTACCAGTTTACCCAAGGTTGTACAGCTAGTGAGAGATCTAGAATTGAGCCTATGTCCTTAGTCATGATGTCAGTATGCACTTGAGGCTAAAAATTGCCTCTGAAGGGGCACCTGGGTGGCTCAGTTGGTTAAGGGTCCGACTCTTGATTTTGGCTCAGGTCATGATCTCAGGGTCTGGGGATCAAGCCCTGCATTCGACTCCTCGCTCAGCAGGGAGTTTGCTTAAGATTCTCTCCCTTTCTCTTCCCCCCTCCCCCCACTTGCTCACTCTCTCTCTCAAATGAATAAATAAATCTTTTAAGAAAATCTGCCTCTGAATTCAGCTTTGATTGAATTCTCATTTGTTATTTGTCTCTGAATGATGGTGTGTAATCATACTTTTTTCTTTGCCCCAATAATTATTTAAGAAGACTTTTTTTTAAAGATTTATTTATTTGAGAGAGCTAGAATGAGAGACAGAGTACATGAGAGGGGGGAGGGTCAGAGGGAGAAGCAGGCTCCTCGCCGAGCAGGGAGCCCGATGCGGGACTCGATCCCGGGACTCCAGGATCATGACATGAGCCGAAGGCAGTCGCTTAACCAACTGAGCCACCCAGGCGCCCCTAAGAAGACATTTTTATGAGCTGAGAGGAGAGGGAGAAGTAGGCTTCCCTCAAGCAGGGAGCCCAATGTGGGGCTTGATCCCAAGATCCTAGGATCATGACCTGAGCTGAAGGCAGATGCTTAGCTGAGTGAGCCACCCAGGTGCTCCAAGAAGGCATTTAAAACATGTCTTAGGGGTGCCTGGCTGGCTCAGTTGGTGGAGCATGTGACTCTTGATCTCAGGGTGGTGAGTTCAAGCCCCACAGTGGGTGTGGAGCCCATTTAAAATAAATTTTAAAAAATGTCTTAGTGTTTAAACTAATTTTTATTTTTCATTTACAGGTTTATTGTGTTTGTGTGAGAAAATGTGCCTTGATTATTTTGTGCTTATTGGGATTTTTGAGTTTTTTCTTTGTGGCCTATTATAAGGTATTTTTTTGTTTGTTTGTTTTTTAAATGTAGGCTCCATGCCCAGTGTGGAGCCCAGTGTGGGGCTTGAACTCACCACCCTGATAACAAGACCTGAGCTGAAATCAAAAGTCAGATGCTTAACTGACTGAGCCACCCAGGAGCCCCGTAAGGTAATTTGTTTTTGTTTAATCTCCATTGTGGCATTTATTGTGTTTTGACTTTCTCTGTACCTCTGTCTCTTCTTTATAGATGTAAAATCACTGAGGTCAGGAGTTATATCTAATTCATCTATTCATCTCTGTATTGACCAGAAGGTAACTGCCTGGCAGAGATGTTTGATGATAGTTAGTGGACTGAATAAATTAATGTTGGTCCTTGTGGATTTGAAGAATATTGTACATGAAAAAAGGCCAGAAGGAGACTGTGACATTTCCTTTGCTTTGATCCATCCTCTGTGCTCAGAGCAGTGATATCCAGATAGTGGCCTATTTTCAGGAAAACTTATAGTTGAATAAGATTCAATTGGAACTGTATCCTAGGAGGAAAATGCACATTTTAAAGATCATGGAAACTGTATGGAACTTTTACAAATATGGTTGCATTTAGAAATGATTCTGAAAGCATGTCAAAGTTTCTTTTATTTTTATTTTTTGAAAATGTGTGGGTTTTTTTACAGCCCATTAAATATTTGCACTGGTGAATAGATAAGGGAGTTAGAACTGGAAAGGGTCTTTTCTTTTTTTTAAGATTTTATTTTTAAGTAATCTCCACACTTAACATGGGGTTCAAACTCATAACCCTCAGATCAAGAATTGCATGTTCCACCGACTGAGCCAACCAGGTGCCCCCGAACTAGAAAGAATCTTAATAACCATCCAGTGCATCGCTTTCATTTTACAGATGTGGCTCAAAGACTTGAAGTGATTTGCCCAAGCCTGAACTATTAGTCCCATGCTCTAGTCAGGACTAGACTCTATGACCCGTTTTTTTTTTTTTTCCAATGGCCAACAGACACATGAAAAAGTGCTCAACATCCCTTGGCATCAGGGAAATCCAAATCAAAACCACAATGAGGTATCACCTCACACCAGTCAGAATGGCTAAAATTAACAAGTCAGGAAACAACAGACATTGGCAAGGATTCAGAGAAAGGGGAACCCTCCTACGCTGTTGGTAGGAATGCAAGCTGGTGTGACCACTCTGGAAAACAGTATGGAGGTTCCTCAAAAAGTTGAAAATAGAGCTACACTATGACCCAGCAATTGTGCTACTAGGTATTTACCCCAAAGATACAAATGTAGGGATTCAAAGGGGCACCTGCACCCCAATGTTTATAGCAGCAATGTCCACTATATGACCTGTTTTTAAAAGTCTCCTGTGTAGCTGATATGAGGAATTCTTTTTTTTTTTTAAGATTTTATTTATTTATTTGACAGAGAGAGACAGTGAGAGCAGGAACACAAGCAGGGGGAGTGGGAGAGGGAGAAGCAGGCTTCCCGCCAAGCAAGGAGCCCGATGTGGGGCTCGATCCCAGGACCCTGGGATCATGACCTGAGCCGAAGGCAGACGCTCAACGACTGAGCCACCCAGGCAGGCACCCTGATATGAGGAATTCTTTTTTTTTTTTAATTTTTTTATTGTTATGTTAATCACCATATATTACATCATTAGTTTTTGATGCAGTGTTCCATGATTCATTGTTTGTTCATAACACCCAGTGCTCCATGCAGAACGTGCCCTCCTCAATACCCATCACCAGGCTAACCCATCCCCCCACCTATGAGGAATTCTTAATCTCAGGAAACAAACTGAGGGCTGCTGGAGTGGTGGGGGGTAGGAGAGATGGGGTGCCTGTGTGATAGACATTGGGAAGGGTATGTGCTGTAGTGAGTGCTGTGAATTGTGTAAGACTTGAATCACAGACCTGTACCTCTGAAACAAATAATATATTATATGTTAAAAAAAAAAAAGATAGCAGGAGGGGAAGAATGAAGGGGGGAAATTGGAGGGGGAGACGAACCATGAGAGACTATGGACTCTGAAAAACAAACTGAGGTTTCTAGGGGGGAGGGGGGTGGGGGGATGGGTTAGCCTGGTGATGGGTATTAAAGAGGGCATGTTCTGCATGGAGCACTGGGTTTTATATGCAAACAATGAATCATGGAACACTACATCAAAAATCAATGATGTAATGTATGGTGATTAACATAACATAATAAAAATTTAAAAAAATTCAAAAAAATCAAGGAAATTTTACCAAAGAATATATTTTAGAATTAAAAAATTTTTAAAAAGTTAAAAAATAAAAAAAAAATAAAAGTCTCATGTGTAGGAACGCCTGGGTGGCTCAGTTGGTTAAGTGTCTGCCTTCAGCTCAGGTCATGATCCCAGGGTTCTGAGATCGAGTACTGCATCGGGCTCCTTGCTTGGCAGAGAGCCTGCTTCTCCCTCTACCTGCTCTGCCTGCCTCTACCCCTGCTTGTGCTCTCCCTCTCTGACAAAAAAATAAATCTTAAAAAAAAAAGTCTTCTGTGTATAGCTAATAAATCATCCTTATTCAGATGCTGGTATTCCTTTTTAATATTTTGACTTCTTGAGTTACTTAAGACAGAAGAGTATATTAAAATCTACCAGTCAATCCTACTGTTTCTGGTCATTTCTACTTGGATTCCTCCCATCCCCACCCTACCTCTTGGATGTCAAATGCCCAGATTTGGATTATCATAATCCTCGATTTACGATATAGTCTCATCATTGGTTAATTATTAATTATTAATGTATAATTAATATTATACATTAATTATTAATGTATAATTAATTTTGTGTTAATTATTAATGTATAATAATAAGCATTTATGAAGTCGCTATCTCAAACAAAACCTGAGACCTTGGCAATCACGTACATCTAACTGTATGGTCTCTCCTCCCAGTTTGTCTCACTCCCTGTGAGGTAAGCATCTGAAACTCAGGCTCATCATTACCTTGCTTCCATTTTGACGTAGTTTTATTGCAGCTCTCCTGTGTATTTCTTTTTGCCTATTTCACCCCCCTGCCAGTAGCCACCACTTTGTTCTCTATATTTATGAGTCTGTTTGTTTTTTAATTCGTTTTGTTTTATTTTTTAGATTCTACATATAAGGGAAATTATGTGGCATTTGTCATTCTTGGTCTGACTTACTTTACTTAGCATAATACCTCTAGGTCCATCTAGGTTTTTGTAAATGACAAGATTTCATTCTTCATTTATGGCTGTGTAATATTCCATTGTGTATGTATATATACCACATCTTTATCCATTCATCTATCGATGGACACTTAGGTTGCTTCCATATCTTGACTATTGTAAATAGCTGCAATGAACATAGATAGGGATGCAAATATCTTTTGAATTAATATTTTCATTTTCTTCAGGTAAATACCCAGAAGTGGAATTATTCAATCATTGTATCTATTTATTTTAATTAAAAAAGGTTTTGTGTTGTATGTAATCGTTTGGAGTTTATTCTTTTCACATCTTGTTTCACTTGTGGTGGTGTCTTGATCTGAGGAATTTTTTTCAAGGGCCCCATGATTTTCTTTTTCTTCATCTTCATTGAGGGGATTTATGCTTGCCCAGTATTGTCTTACAATCAAATGACTGATCTGGGATCCATCTGAAACTTTTTTTTGGTAAATATTCTGACTGATTTTTAAAAATTGAGGTATAGTTGACATATAACATTAATTTCAGGTGTACAACATAATGATTTGATATTTGTACTTATATGAAATTTTACAGCAATTTCTCGTCAGGATCAAAGGTGGAACTACAGGAAGTTATAGACTGCTGTTTTGGAGACCTAACAGGCTGTGTGGAACGGGCAGGGCACTGACGTGGCTTTTTCCTAACTGGACCCTCATTTTGTGAGTAGGTGTAATCCCAGTGAAACCTTCTGTCCACCAGCACTGGCTGTGTAGCTCCCACCAGGAGCAAGCTGGGGTTTGGTTGCCATGATGACCGTCCCCTGGAATTGGGGGCACAGAGGCAGTGAGCAGTCCTTTGGGCCCCTTAGCTAGTTCTTTCACTTCCTTCCCAGGTTAGAACACCTTTCTGATCTTCAGGGACTTAGAAATATTGTTTACACAGATGGAAACAGTAGTAACAGGCTATTCACCAAGAGGAGTGGACTGTTTCTTCACAAACACAAATCTAAGACTCACTGTAACCTCTTTCCTAATTTGTAGTAATTCACACACTGATTCCAACTGCCATGGTTGGTCCTGCAGAATTTGTACGAGCCTCTCCCTTCTAATCTGCACCCCACCTTCACATGCTGACCTTTCAGTTTCTCAGCTTCACCACTTTCACCTGAACCCCCAACCTCTTACTGTCCTCAGCTCTTTTCCTTTCTCCCATTCCCACCAAATTCCAACCAAACACTAGGAATTGCTATTTAGTTAGCACTTAACATCAGCTAGACACTGGGGCCAGTGGCTCTTTATGTATCATCTTGTGCTACTGTTTTGTCCTACTCAATGAAGTAACATTAGTGTCTTCATTTTATGGCTAAGAGAGTGAGGCTCAATGAGATGAATTTGGCCAACGTCCGTATCTCCAGGGAAGCTAGGATTTGAACTAGTTTTTGTTGTTGTTGTTTGTTTTTATTTTTATGTTACGATGCCTTGGGCTCCAAGTAAAAGAAAACTTAAATTGGCTTTAACAATAATGAAATTATTTCATATAAAAAGGTTGGTTAGCTCAGTAGCTCATCAAGGACCCAGGCCTTTCTACTCTCCTATCCATCCTTGCTGTATTCAGGCTCTGTCCCCAAGTTAGCCTAGCTTCCCACAAGGTTTCATGATGCCTACCAGAGTTCTGTCATCACGTCCATAGAACTTCTAAAGGCAGGAAAGGACATTGTTCCTTCTTGTCCATCTCTCTCTCTCTCATTTGTCATGCATTTTTTAAAAAAAGATTTATTTATTTGAGGTGGGTGAGGGGCAGGAGAGGGAGAGCGAATCTTAAGCAGGTTCCTCTTCTAGCCAGATGCAGGACTCGATCTCATGACCCTGAGATCATGACCTGAACCGAAATCAAGAGTCAGACGCTTAACCGACTGAGCCACGCAGGCATCCCTGTCATGCATCTTTTTTCTTTTGTCATGTATCTTTTTATTTTTAACTTTTTAAGATTTTATTTACTTATTTGACAGAGAGAGAGACAGTGAGAGAGGGGACACAAGCAGGGGGAGTGGGAGAGGGAGAAGCAGGCTCCCCGCAGAGCAGGGAGCCCGATGCGGGGCTCGATCCCAGGACCCTGGGATCATGATCTGAGCCAAAGGCAGACCCTTAACTGACTGAGGCACCCAGGCGCCCCTGTCATGCATCTTTTTAAAGAGCATTTTAAGTTGCTTACTTTTCTTAGGGCCCTCTCTTATCCTGGCCAACTTCCCTTTTCTTGTCCAGAACGCCATAAGCCCGTGCCTCACTAATCACTGACAAGGGGAAATAGGATCACTACGATGGGCTTAGACTAATCAAGACTCATTCCCAGGGCTGGCTCCAAGCTTCCCTGAAGCTCTTGGCTGCTCCACAGAACAAAATTAAGGTTCTGTTAGGAAGAAGGGAGATGGGGGCAGGGGAATGGGTAGTCAGTGTGCAACCAATAGTGTTTGTTACAGAATCCAAAAGTCTAGGTTGTTAACCTTGCCACACTGCTGCTTTTCTGGGTTCTCCCCTCAGTTCCCATCCCCATCTAGCATATTTCCTTAACAGTGAGCCAAGTCTACAACCCCAGCTCTAAATGCCACATACCAAGGCTGTCCTTGGCACAACAGTGAGAAACGTGAAATGTATTCCTTGGGGCCCAGCGCTCCTGTGCAATCCACAAGTTAGGGATGTGTGCTTGGTCAGCCTGGGCATGTCACACTTGGGTGGGGAGAAGAGCAGAGGTTCTGCCTCCTGGAAAGGTGAACTGGCCTGACCCTGACTGACCCAGCCCCAGAGCTGAGTTCCAGTCATGCTGCCCCCCTCTGAGAGCTCTTCTTTCGGGTCCATACTTCTCTGCTCTTAGAATCTGAATTTTTTCTTATTTTTCCCCCTTCCTTCCTCCCTCCCTTCCTTCCTCTTTTTTCTTTCTCTCTCTCCTCTTTCTTTTCTTTTTTCTTACTTTATTCCCTTTCTTTTTTTTTTTTTTTTAAAGATTTTATTTATTTATTTGAGAGAGAGAATGAGAGATAGAGAGCATGAGAGGGAAGAGGGTCAGAGGGAGAAGCAGACTCCCTGCTGAGCAGGGAGCCCGATGTGGGACTCGATCCCGGGACTCCAGGATCATGACCTGAGCCGAAGGCAGTCGCTTAACCAACTGAGCCACCCAGGCGTCCCCTTTATTCCCTTTCTTTCTTTTATAAATAAGCTGTGCAGCCAGTGTGAGGCTTGAACTCACAACCCTTAGAAAAAGAGTTGCATGCTTTACCAATTGAGCCAGCCAGGCACCCTATGAATTATTTTCTTAACAAATTCTGATTTGTCCCTAGTCTTAAAACCCAACATTACCATATTTCCTTTCCTTGAACTCCCAGAGTAGAAAAACCCATATCCACTGAATTTACTAACTAGTCACAGGTCTCCTATGTGTGTTAGAAGCTTAGAGAAAATATTAGACAATAGGGAAGAAAATTAAGTTTTAGTAGCTGAGTGCCAGGTGCTGGGGTAAATTCTTTCCCACACTGACTTTATCTTAACAGCACCCTGGTAGGTTAGGTTATTTTAACTTTCACATTTGGGTTTAGGGAATTCATGTTCAGCAGAAGTTAAGTCGCCTGCTCAGACAAGGTTAAGGCCACAAGCTAGTAGGAGCCCATGATAGTGTGACCTCAGGCCCATGATCTTTCCCCTCCACCCCCTTTCTGACTTCATGGTCTTTGCTGGTACAAAACACATTTGTATATATTAATTCGAGCCTCACAACAGTAGCAGGGTGAGTCCTGGTATCTACATTTTGTAAAAGGTTCAGAGATACTAAATGACTTGCCCAAAGTCATATGGAGCTTAGCTTTTGCGACTACAGAATATGCCTAGCAGAGCACAGCATTATTTGTTGAATGATAATCCAGATGATGGTGGATATCCAATAAATAATTCTTGTCAAAGTAAAATGATTGAAAAGAAAATGTCACTGCTTAGAGTCTCTAGGTTCCTTTTTCTCCCTGTCCCCCCCCCCCCCCCGGGACCCCTTAGAGACCCTCTCTTCCCAGGCATTCCATCACTTTCAGTCAACACTCACAAAGACTAGCACCCACATGTCTTCAGGCAGGGGGTTTAAGAAGGAAGGGTGGTCCTCTTAAGATAGAGCTGAATGGACCTCACAGTTTTTGTTCTTTCACCTCCCACCTTAGGGCTTCCTTCGCTCCCTGAACCGGAGGAACAGGAGGCCACGCTCACACTTTTCCCTGCCCCCATGTGGTGGACTGCATTTGTTCAGGAGTAGACCAACCAGTGAGCTCCTGGCCTTGGCCCTGTCAATTACCTCCCTAGTGCCTCCTCCCCTCTCTCCTCCCTTGGCCCCGCCTCCTGCCTCTGGTCCCACCCCACCAACCCTGGACACAGTACACAGCCTAAAGCTTCGGCTCCAAGGGAAACAAAAGGAACTGCCTGGATTCCCATGGCTATGGCCAGCACCTTCATACCAGGGCTGAACCCTCAGAACCCTCATTATATCCCAGGGTAAGACTTCAACCCAGGGCACATCCCTGCTTGCTTCTGGGAATAGGGCTATAAGGACATGGGAGTTGTGCCACGTAGGACGTAGGGGCCAATAGACAAACTGGTATGGTAGGCCCAAGGCTGAGATATTCATGGTGTTGGATGGAAAAGGAAGAGCAAGGGCATAGTGGTAGCTGGGCCTGCCACGAAGCTTTGTGTTGTCTTCTCCATGGTAACAGGGTAACAGCAGAGGGGAAGGGTTGAAAACCCAGAGAGAACTGAGAAATGCCTGCTCCAAATATATACGCAACCGAATCCAGAAAAAAAACCAGGGCTTTCAGAGGTCTCTGTTTCTATCTCTGCGGGTGGTGGAGCAGGGGGGGTCTAGAGGTGAGCGGGTGAGTCCTGTGCTTACAGGTACACCGGACACTGCCCACTACTTCGCTTCAGCACGGGTCAGACCTATGGGCAGATGACCGGTCAGCTGCTTCGAGGGTTTCCTGGCCTAGCCTGGCCCCCCACCCATCGCACACTTCTGCCTCCCATCCGGCCTCCAGCATCTCCTGAGGTTCCCAGGGGAAGCCTGCCTGTCAGGCGGGGGCATGAAAGGCTTAGCTCCAGCATGATTCCTGGGTACACAGGTATGTACGGACAGTCTGAACAGGTGTCCCCAACCCAGAACGTGTGCCCCAAACACTAACTGAAATCTTTCTTGCCCCCTCCCACCCAGGTTTTGTACCCCAGGCACAGTTCATCTTTGCCAAGAACTGCAGCCGGGTCTGGGCTGAGGCTCTGAGTGATTTCACTCAGTGGTCTGAGGGACAAGGGGGTCAACAGCTGCCAAAGGAGGCCAAGGGTAAAAAAGATGTGGAGAAAGACCAAGAGCCAAAGCTGGAGCCAGAGCTGGGGCAAGAGGCAGAACAAGTGAGACCAAGAAGGCTGGAGGGGGTCCGGGGGGGTTGGGAGTTGGGGAGCCTGACCTCTGTGTGGGCGGGCCTAGGCAGGGCGGCCATGAGTAGCATGGCTACGGGGTGCAGGGGATGTGGGCTTGACCGCCAGCTCCACCCCCCAGGGAGCTTCTGTTGGAGCACAGGGGCTGAATTGGATAGCCTTACTTTTTCTCTGCCACCTTCTCCTCACAAGGCTTCCCCCTATTCCATGGATGACAGAGATCCTCGCAAGTTCTTCATGCCAGGTGAGAGGAAGTGGCTAATGACCAAAGGCATGGGGAGGCTCCCAGGAGGTCCTGACTCAGTATCCGCCCCCCCCCCAGGCTTCACTGGTTACGTGCCCCGTGCCCGCTTCCTCTTTGGCTCCAGCTTTCCTGTGCTCACCAACCGGGCACTGCAGGAATTTGGACAGATGTACTCAGGGAGCAGACCCCAGAAGGATCCCAAACATCTCCCTCCACTTTCTAGGACCTACCCTCAGAACCTGGGCCTATTACCTAATTATGGGGGCTATGTGCCAGGTGAGGATAGCCCCAGAGGGGACTGGAATATTTGTGTGTGTGTGTGTGTGGAATGGGTGGAAGTGGTTGGGGGGGGTTGGAACTGATATGGGGGGCCCTTGGATCATATGGTTCGGCTTTCTCACTGGGCAGAAAAGGATATGGAGGTAGCTCACAGTGGGAAGCTGGGACCAGATTTTGGAGGGCTTAGGCACTGGCTGAGAAATAAATGGCTCTTCTTGCCACTGGCTACAAGTGACAGACTCTGTTGTCCATACAGGGTATAAGTTCCAGTTCGGGCACACATATGGGCATCTCACCCATGATGCACTGGGCCTCACCACCCTCCAGAAGCAGCTCCTGGTGTAGGTACCTGGACTTCAAGTTCTCTCTTCTCTGTCTTCCTATCTCAGCCATCCCTTTGGAAGGAAGAGAGGTGGGCCCGAGGGGGGTGGGGGGAGGCACAAAGAGAAATGGTTTGGAGGCCGAGCACCTTTTTTATTAATAGGTGTAATAAATAAATAAATAAATACATAAACAGAAGCCTGGGCTCCTCCTCCCTCTTCTGACCACCAGGCACTGGCCACAGCCTATTTACATTTGGGGGCTTAGGGAGCTGGCCCCAATACTGTCACCTCTCCTCCTCACCACCTGGCCTAGGGAACCCTGCAAATGGGCCTCCATAGGGACGTGCTTATCTGTACCTATGGGAGGGCTGGCCCATGTGGGCCGGGGAAATCCTGGCAGCCCAGTGCTGCATCCCTTCCCTCCTTTCCTGGGTGGAGGTCTGGATGAGGTCACTGGGACAGTTAATGGGAAGTAATTAATACTGAGCACAGGGATGTACGGCCCCCAGCTCTCAGTCTATTCTCTGTGGCCAGGCCAGAGGGCTTGGGAAGGGCTCTCAGGCTCTGAGTCAGGGGTTATGAGGGTCCCTGAGGCCACCAGCATGCACAGGGCCTCAGTTTTGGCTGCTTCCGGGGGTTGGACTTGGAGATGGGGTCAAGGTCACATAGGCCAGAGGCACCAGGCCAGTGTCGGGGCCACGGCTGCAGCGCAACCAGTCTCCTCCAGCTGGCCCCAGCACCCGTAGGATATCTCCCTTGCGGAAGCTCAGCTGTCCGGGGCCTGTGGCCAGATGATGGCACAGTGCCTTCACCTCGCTGGGGAAACAACAAATGGAGGTCAGAGAAACCCCACCCAAAGCCAAACCCAGCCCCCCAGTGCTATCTTCCAGGGCTTACCATGGAGGCTTGGAGGGCAAGACTGGAGAGTGTGGCTCCTGCAGGCTCTCCTTGGGCTCTGGCTCTCGGCGGGCACCCACTGTCTGTGCCACCAGTTGGAACATGGACTTGTCCAGGCTCAGCCAGTCGGACGGTAGCCTAGGGGAGAGCAGCCGGGGCTCCGGCTCTGTCTGTGCTCTGGTTTAGATAGGCTCGCCAAATCCCTCCGTCTACACCATGGGCTGCCTCTCACCTGTTTGTGGGCCGGGTCTCCCGCTGAGCCTTTCGGGAGCCAAAGAGGTGTCCCCACTTGATGCCCCCAGGTGAAGGCTCTGAGGCTCCTTCCTCATTTTCCGCTGGGGGGGCAGTGGACCCCTCCCTCTCCCGGCTGCGCCTCAGCTCGGCCAGTACAGAATCAGGGGGGCTCCCCATCCAGAAGGGCCAGCCCCTGTCCCGGCCAAGGGTCTCCTCAGGGGCAGGACAGGCCTCTGCCCCTTCGACTACTCCCTCTCGGGGGGGTGGTCCCCCGCCTCCTGCCCCTCTCTTCTTCTCACTGCTGCTATTGCTGCCACCACGGGGGAACCTAGAGCCCTCAGCTGAGCCATCGATGTAGACCTGGGAGCTCTGCATGAGCTGGTACCACCAGCCAGCCTGCCCGCCTCGGGCCCACCTGCCACGCCCTGAGCCCCCAGCTGCCTCTGCCACCTCTTCTGTCTCCTCTTCCTCCTCATCTTCTCCACCTTCGGGGGCGCCCACACCCTTCACCCGCTCCCCCTGGACCGCCCTGTCCATGTCTCCAGGCCCTTCCTGGCCCCTGGCCCGGGCCAGCTGCAGCGTCGAGTGGGCAGACAGCAGCAGGTCCTGTGACACCCGCAGCAGCTCCTTGTGCTGCCGCTGCTGCTGCCCACTTTGCAGGAGCCGGTGCTGGAACAGCAAATCGAGGCTGAAGGGCAGCAGGGCCAGGGGCTGCAGCAGCAGCAGCAGCTCCTCAAAGAGGCCGGGGCACACGGTATGCGCTGCACTCAGGAAGCCCCACGGCTGGTAGTGGGTCTGGATGATATCTGGGGGAGCAAGAGAGAGGGCCTGAGCCCCAAAGAGAAGCAGAGCCCGGCCTGGGGGCGGGGGGCCTCCGAGAAGTGGCCCTGGCAGAGCCGCTGCATACTGCCGCACAGGCGGGGCACTGTGCCCTTGGGTGCATGCCAGTGCCAAAGAGGCCGCCTGACACCTGTGCAGGTCGTGACCTCCGCAGCCGTAAGTGGCAGCCCCAAGTTCACAGGAGAGCTGTGGGGGTTCCTGGTCACCCTCACTTCCAGATTGCCCGAGTATCCTGCTGGCTCCAAGGCTCTAACACAAGTAGAAGCTGGGGACAGACTGGGCTGGAAGCCCAGGCTCTGAAGACGGAAGCTTGGGCGGTCCCCCTCCCCACCTCTACCATCTGTAAAGAGCCATGCCTCCCTCTTCTGAGCCTCTGAGGTCTGGCCTATATTGAGTTTGCAAGAGAGAGTAGTGTTCCGGGCATTACCTTCGTGGTTATAGAGGTGATTAAACCAGAACTCCAGGGACCGGATGCTGTAGGGAAACAGAGAGAGTTGAACCTTGTGTGTAGATAGCCAGATGATAAGGTATAAAGGAGACAGACAGGGGGTCAGACAGAGGCAGAAGTATGGGTGAACATCTCCCTTCTATGGCAGGGATGCCACCTGGTTCGTTTCACGTAAAATAGTTCCGGAAAGTCAGTGAGGGATGATGGGAGGGGGTTAACATGTGATTCACAAGCCAATGACTTCCCTCTAGAATGGAGTTGGCTTGCCTAGGCCCCCAGAAGTCATGGCAGCTACTGAGTGAACATACAGGGTACACATCCCAAAGGGGATGGCCCGGGCCCATACTTGAGAAAGAAGGATACTATGATGTGGATCTCAAGGGGGGACTTATGGTCAGGCAGGATTTGGAAGTAGGGCTGCAATTGAGGGGATCAAGGTTTACAATATCCAGAGAACCAGATTAATTTCCAAATAAGCCAGATTATGGATTTATAAAAGCCAAAGACCATGTTGGTGATCAGTGCCAGAGGGTTGTGGGTGTGGTGGGAAACCAGAGACCTACTGAGACAGCTGTAACTAGATGGGGAGAAGGTGAGTCTGGGCCCTGGCTACAGAGCCTGCAGATCCCCCTCGGCCTGTCTCAGTCTAGGGAGTCGGTTCCACAGAAGTGGCAGAGCCCGGGGGAGAGGGCTGTGATTTGCCGCTCTTGTGGCCCCACACACTCACTTGAGCAGGCCGAGAATGAAGGCGTTGAAACGCATGGTGTGACTGGTGAGCTCCGGGAATTGGCTGACCTTGTTGTAGAGGCCGTGCAGGACCTTGGTGGACGGGCCTGAGAGGAAGCCAGAGCTAGCAGTCACATGCCCAGTCTCCTGAATCCGGATCTCAGCCTGGGGTCCTCATCTTGCTGCCCAGCACTTACCTAGCTGTGTAGAAGCCTCAACCACACTCCACGGCATGTTCTTACGTTGCCCAATGATGACATCTAGCACGAAGGCCTTGAGCCCATCCTCCAGCACAGCCTGGACTGCGGGGCACAAGTACTTCAGAACTAGGTGGCCCACATTGGGGCTCACAGAACTATTCCCGAGCTTTGCCTGTGGATGCAGTAGAGAAGAACAGGGAATCACTGGAAGCCTGACCTTGGTCTTCTCTGACTCTCTTAGGCCTTAGCTTGCCTCTCTTGTGATCCCCATCCTCAAGTACCCAGTTCTGGGTTCTAGGTGCAAGAGAGCAGGAGAAGGTGGCAGCATAGAATGGGTGACGGTCAGCAGGGTAGAGTTCAGCTGGCCCCAGTTTTTTGCCTACCTTCACCCCAGGATCCCGGCTTGTGCCAAAATGGGCCACAATGAGGTCCACGGCAGTGTTAACCGCCTTCACCAGCCCTGCAAGTAAGAATTCCATGTGATGGGTTCCTTAGCAAGTCCCTGGGCAACTCAGCTGAAACTGAGCCCTCAGTGGAGAGAGGGAGGGATGTCCACTTTCTCTCTCTCTCTGTCCCTGCACGTGGGTCTCAGTCTTACCGAGGACCAGGCCCTGACCCCTTCCTGTTTTCACCCAGTTCTCAAGCCCTGTACTGTTGTCACCACCAGTGGACCCATCTCAGCGATTTTACCTTCAAGATCCTCTTACTCCAGTCCTGGATTGAGCTAACGACCCATCTTCTCCGCTCTGAGAAACCAGGCTACTGGCTGCTGGACAAAGTCCAGGGCCACTCACAACAGTGACCGACAAGGGCACCTCTTTGACATGTGCCTTCAGGTGCCCTCTGCTATGCTCTCACGTTGCCAAATCTTTACCTCTCTTCTCAAGCCCTTGGTTCGACCTCACCCAGAGAACAGAGGCCACTGGTCATCAATTCAACTTCCCTGTCTATCCAAAAGACATAACTACATCCTGTCTACCCTCCTTCCCGCCCCCCTCACTCTCTTTCCATCTTGCTCAAGGTTCTTCCCTGTTCCCAGCTTTGAACCCCCCACTCTGCCTCTACAGGGAACTTCAGCTTCATCTTTCTCCCTCCCCACAGCTCCTTCCCTTCAGCCCACAATGATGCTCAACTCTTTCCCCAGCATCTCCCTGAAACAGCTTTCTCTTGGTCCAGTGGTCCCTTACTTGCTCAACATCTTAGTAGATGTTACCATCATGCTTACCCAAGCTGTTAGGTCCTGTTGTACTTGGACTCCCCCCATTAGAACACACGGCCATTTATTTATGGCATGGCAGTCTCCCTCACTCTACTTAGCTCCCTGAGGTAAGAGACCGAAGCCTGATTCTCAAGCCTCTGATAAATGACCCTTGTGCATTCAGGCACACTTGTCCTACACGATGCACAGGCTGCTACCTCGTGCCCCAATTCCTGTGCTGATTCCTTCCTAGCACGTGGAGTTCTAGGATAGGGAAACGTTCTGGAGGGCTAGACAGTAGGGCAACAGGCACAATAGGTACCGACAACAGAATTCCTGGCCTGAGCCGGGGGTAACATTCACCTTTTTTCTGAAGCAGGTCAATGGAAATGGCCTCTGAGTTGCCATCTGGGGACAGACAAAACTCAGCTGGAGGCTTCTCAGTCAAGGAAAAGGGGTCTTGGAAGTCAGGGCAGGTCAGTGGTAATGGCTTCACTATTTGACCTGGAAAGAAGAGAAAAATCAATCTCAAGCAACTCTCCTTCCAAGCGCTGCAGTCAGTTCTGTGCCTCATACCCTCTGGGACTCGTTCCCGCGGGACTGCCCCTTCTCCAGCCCTGCCCAGCTGCGGTAGAGCCTGCC